ACCACGTCTGCTGTCTGATCACCTTTCAACCCGCTGCAGAACTCCTACGCGATTTAACACCAGCTGTATTCGTTTCTGGATTCTAGCTGTGTCCCCTACCGTTACTCCCACGGCACGGGACTCGGCCCCCCAAGGGGCAGGGAAGGAGCTGGGCGGGTGCTGTGTGGGGCTGGGACTGGTGGGGCAGCTGGCTGGGATGGGACAGCGGGGACAACGGGTACATTGGGGACAGAGGGGATGGCAGCTCCACTGCCCAGCACCGAGCGGCTGGGTGAGCCTGGGCTGAGCTCAGCTCCCTGCCAAATGTGTCTGCTTGGAGCTGGTCACTAGGGCACGGGCTGCTGAGCACGCCACTTGCAGCAGGCCAGCGTTCATTCCTGAGGATAAAATGAGTAAGTGACTGGTGCCAACACGTGTAAGTTGTTAGAGGAGTTGGGGCACATCGTATTTTCGTGACGGCATGCACAGGCGGGCAGCGCGCAGCCAGGAGAACTGCAGACAGCCATTAGAAACGTGAACAGGAAGGGCTGTTTGTGTCAAAACACTTCCAGTGAACTGCTCCTACAAGAGCTAGTAAAAGAAAGCTTGATCTTGTCAAAATGTTAATGGAATTTGATGTAAGTCTGACAAGACGTTCTTCAGTCAATGAGAAGGCACCTGCGAGATGCCAGGCTGCAAGCATGGCCAGGGGCAGAGCGCCCAGCACCTCCAGTGGGTGCCCAGCACCTCCAGCAGTGCCCTGTGCATCCACCATCAGCCCACCACCACTGAGGGTACCTGCAGAGGTGATGGAGCCCCTTTGATAAGGCCGGTGGTTAAACAAGGAACAGCAGCTAAATGCTGCAGGGTCCAACAAGCGTTCCACCCGGCCACGGTGGGCACTGAAGAGGCACCCAGAGGTGCCATCCGTGGGACTGCCAAGCTCATCGAGACAGAGCCACGGCTCACCTGCTGAGCTGCCACAAGAGGAGGGCTGCATGGGGTGACCTCCAATGGTGCCTTCCAAGCAGTATTTTATGAGTCATGTGTCTGCTGTTAGTTCCAGACATATGAGTTTTCCAAATTATTCTGTCCTACATCAGTTGTATCTCACAGTGTTGGCTTTTATTTGCTATCGTCTTGTTGATCACCTTGCTTCATTAGTGTCCCTTTAGACCAGAGCGTTGCAGCACTGGCTGATCTAAATAATCCTATCATCTGCAAATGTACCACATCAGTAATCGTTCCCTTCCACACATCGTTAATTAGTATGCCAGACAGCACGAGTCCCCAGGTGGAACTCTCCGGACACCCTACTGTTAACCTTTTGCCATAGTCAAATGGCCATTTATTCCTACTCTGTGTGCTGGGACTTGGCTGAAGACACTTTGAAAGCCCAAATAAATTATGTCAGATGGCGCTCCTTTGTGCCTGCTTGTTCAAGTGAGAAATAGACTGATATCTCCATGCAGAACAATGACACTGTGCAGCACAACTTACACCACTGCAGCTCTCAGGGGGAGGCTGTGACAACCCCTGGTACTGATGGCAACGCTGCACTCATCCCCCAGATTTCCAGAGCTTTTTGGACATATTCCTTACTCCTCCTATCACTTCTTGTTCTGTGTGCCAATGGCTGGGGAAAGGAGTTACAAATAAAGCTGTGTTATTAACAGAGAGGAAAACACTCATCTGAGCGTTATTTACATGCCTATAGAGAGTGTTCTGGGAAATCCTTTTCCAGCCACAACTACACACATTCACCCAGGCAATGGAGGCACTGAGCATGTCCCCAGGCGTTGCTGACACTTGGCCACACCTCAGGTGGGTACAAATCACAGAATGGAAGCATGGCAGGGATCCTGCACAGGCATCGTGCCGGGCTGGGTGCCGTCAGCCAAGTTCCTCAGAAGGTCTTTGGTGTCTAATGCTTGCTGAAATCACCTTAAAATCGGTGACCTTAATGCCGTCAAGGATCTTAGCCTCACCACAGTGACATTTTCCATCCCCACAGTAATAATTGTTTCCTCACAGGAAGGCTGAGAAAGTCCAAAAAGCACCGCGACACGCTCTGATGCTGGCGTAGCAGAAACCAGTACAGTAACTTTAATTTTTAAAATACAATAATTCTAATTAATATTTAAAATTAATTTAAAGTGCACAGTAATATTTAGAAGAGGAGCTCCTGCATTATGGAGGAGCAGTCCCACTGGGCGCAGTGTCTTCAGCAAGGGCTGGATCAGGAGTTTGCAGTGGCTTTCCAGGGGCGGTGCAGCACCTGCAGCGATCCCTGCCTTCTCCTGGGGGAGCACAGGGACTAACACGAGCCCTCCCCGCCCTGCAGCACCCACAGGCAGTGGAAGCAGGCATGCACAGAGAGGCACGGGTACCGAGGCACCGCGGGAGGGATGCAGGGATGGGAAAACCTCCAGACCCTGCGCAAGGACCAGAGGCCGAGGGGTGGGATGTGACTGGGGGGTGGCGAGGTCACGGCGGTGACAGCACCCCACAGCCAGGAGCAAAGCCTGCAGCGTGCTGCATAAACCATTTGTAATTAATCAGTTGGCCAACTTCAACTCCAGAGCTTATTTGTGTCCATCACGGTCTCGTTATCAAAGAGGAAAGAGCAAACTTACAAAAATATAACCCAATTAAGTACTTGGAGCTGGCTGAAGTTTGGGTTTATCATTTAGTGCTATGGACTATGAGTGCCCGTGGAAACCTTTTCAAGTAGTCAATGATTATTTTAACAATTCAACTTATTTTCAAATGAATTATCCAGGAAAACAGCAATTGCTAAATTCCTTGCATTCACTGAGCCAATGCGTTATAATATGTCATATAATTAAACTATTCATTAAGGCTTTTACTGGATAGAAAATCAAATCTCGAAGGCATCTGACCTTTTGGGCATTTCAGCCTTTCACACTTCAGTTATCAAGTTGCCTTAAAATTGCCTATTAGTCTTTATGGGCTTTCTGAACAATTTTTTGAACAGCAAATTTAATACAAAATAAATCTAATACTAATAGCTTTTGCTTCTTATTTTTAATAACAGAATCCTGAGAAATAATAAAACATAATTCTCCTGGAGGTGCACCTTGCCATTTAATTAATTCCTCGCTGATAAAAGTGTAGCAGATGCAACATTTTCTTTTCGTTTCCTATAAATAGTTGTGCTTAAGGGAGCCCGTGAGAGAAGCAGTAGATTATTCTAAACACAAATCACTATGGTATGTTCAGATAGATCTGAACACACACCTCTAAAATAGGGAGACCCATAAATTGCATCCACATATATGCCGCAGTCTTTCCATGATCTTTATCTTCGCTTTGCCCAGTGAAGGGGTGTCTCCCACATGGCACACATCAGAAGTGGTGAAAATCCCCCTGGCTTCTGCCACATGTTCCCAAAGCACTGCTTGAGTATCAGTGGTGTGAACACTGATGTCAGTGATAGACACAGAGAGTATGGAGCAAATTACAGGAATTACACCAAATGGTAGAAAGCTCAGCTCAGCAACTGCCCGGACATAGCAAGGCACAGGGATACGTGCACGTGCACCCAGCACTGTTTGTATTCCCATGGGGGCTAAGCTGGGCACGCTGCTTTACGTTAAAAAAACACTTCAGGTTTTGGTTTGATTGCACATAGCTCATTAGCTGATAGATCTACAGCGGGACCAAAACCTTGCACCTAGAAGAATTCATTTCCAGCACTCTCGAGGACATCTACCAGACTGTGATGTCACCAACTCTTCTCCCCAGAGGGAAACTCCCGGTGGGTCCCTGCTGCAAACTGGTGGCTGCAAGGCTCGGAGCACGGTGCTCCAGAACTGCACGGAGCCACCCGGCGCGCAGGCTGCCCCTGGAGAGCAGCTGAGCCCCCTCCTCCTGCTCACCGCCAGGCGAGGGCTGCTCCAGCTGCTGGTGACAACGTAGGACAGCCAGGGCAGGCTCAGCGACTGAGCTTCTGGCAGACAAACGCCACATGCACCTCGACAAGAGCATCCCAAAGCTTTAGACAGTTGCAATTGTGGCCTAGATAATGAGAGCATTGAAGAAAGTTATGTCTAAATATCACACTGGCACAACCAATATAAATTGCATCATGGTTCTAATGGGGCTTCCAAGGCGGGAGCCAGCCTGACATAATTTCATGGTTTCTCACCATTCCCTAAACCTGATCATCCACATCAGAAGGCGAGGCAGGAGCAGAAAAAGCAATAAGATGCTAGGCATGGAGTTTTGTTTGCAGCACTGAACATGCATCTGACCTACGTGCAATTAGCAGGAGAGCACACACACTTCCCCAGCCCAGCAGAGTATGAAATTTGTGGTTGGGAATTATCTGAATGGCCAGCTGATTGATTTTTGGTTTTCTGCACTGTTACATAGTGACTGATCTAAATCTCGCCTTTTATTAACCTGTCTCTCCAGTGCCTGCCTAACGAAGCAGAGGGAGTGAAGTGAGCAAGGAAAACAAAAGACTCAGTCACTCAGCGCGGAGCAGCTCCGAAGCCTTTCACAAAGGTCAGCGCGTTTCAAGCTACCGAGCTGGCAGCGCTGGATGCAATTAGAGGGGAGAATGAAGCGGCACTGCTGCACCGGCTGCCTCCGCAAGCTCATTATTTCGTGGGATCCTGGTGTCAGGCCACCTGACATGTATGGATTTAGGTGCCATTATTAAATTATATTTAAATTGTCCTGGGCTCCTAACAACTGCTGTTTGTTTTGATGGCTGAGAAGATTCATGCTCCTGCTAGCTGACTGCTCCTGACAGCACCATTTGTAGGAATTAATCAGAGGAAAATACTGTAATAAAGTATATGGTTTCCACCTGATTTTTAAAAAAAGGAAGTTAAAAATAAATAAAAATTGAGAGCATTGCTAACTATTATACCATTACTCATATGTGTGTCTACCTTCAGTATGTCAATACACGTATGGAAGTATTCAAGAGGAAAAAAGAAATTGTTAACAAAAAATATATGTGGAACCATTAGTTTGATTTTTAGAAAAGTAAAAGGTTGCTCCAGCATGGCAGGTATGAACTACTTGAATAAAATGTGGGGTGAGATGATATCCTAGTTGAAAGCCTACAGTCAAAAGTTCTGGATCATATAACAAGAATTTCTTCCAAATCCATGGAATTTTTGGGGCTGACATGCAGAGACAAGTGCAAACTAATTAACTGCAGGACACATACGAGTCACCAGCGAGAGGCATCCTCAGAGATCAAACAGCTGGGTGTTAGGCAGGATGGGCCAGATTTTCTTCTAGCAGGAAAAAGCTCGAGCGCAATCAGTAATAGTGCAGAGCGTGTGTGCCATTTCCCAAGACTTCAGCAGCTTCTTCCAGGATTTGGCATCCCGCTGCTGTCATCCGCTATTGAGAGGGAAACCTGAACAGAAGAGCTGGTGGAGAAAAACTCCTGGTGGGGTCAAACCTGGAAAAACTCCTGGTGGGGTGAGCCCCGGCAGTTCCTGACCCAAAGAATGGGAACTGACATTTGGGATACACGGGGAGGGTTGCGTGGGGAGGAAACTTCAGGAGAGCAATGCAAACTATGAAGTCGCACATACAGCACGTCTCAGTGTCTAATTACAAAACCTGAATGAGGAACATGGAAGAAGATTTAAGAGTAAGGGGATTTTTGTTTTTATTTTGTGTGTGTGTTTTTTCTTTTTTACTTATTGCAATGATACTTTGCCAAGGGCTTATACTTACTGAAACATCTTTCCATCAGAGGAAAGCAGAGAATTATGAATTTTAACATCACCGTTAGATGCACGCAACTTTTGTAGGGGAGATAAAGATGAAAGAACGCAGTGTGGGTATTTGCCCTTATCTTCACTGCTGCTCAGAGCCAGACCCTACATTTTTATCATGCAGACGTGGCTGAGCTGCAAAATTCAAAATACTTCAAAGAAATGAGGAAACTGCTGTGGTGTAGGGCTGTACCCTGATAACGCACCTCGTGCTTCGTGCCCCATCCCTGCAGCAGGCTGCCTGGACCCCAGGGGCAAGGCACAACAACCATGAGCTACGGGTGCACTGGGCACCCCGAGCTTCATAATATCATCAGAATGAATCCCAACAGCATGTTGGTGGCCTGCCAGCATTTTCATCACCCTTTCTCCAGGTTCATCTGGCTGCCACGGAAGATATTTTAATCTACCTATAAATTCCTGCATATGTCTATCAGTCTCACCTCCGTATCTCAGCGGGTAGCCAGGGCTCCTCAAAGCATGGCTACCCCTGTGCATTCCCAAGTTCACCTTTTCTTTATAACTCCACATTTCCTGACATAATGACTTTTTGTGCACTTCACAGCGAAATGGAGAGCAATACCGAGTGCTGAGCTGAAAGTGCAATCCTGAAGTTGTAGGGTGATCATTCCAGTTAACAATGTCAGCACGTGTAATTGTTCACTCTGACCATAAAATAAAATCTTAATTGAAAAATAAGATGAGATGTGCAACGTGCCAGTCATTTCTTCACAGAAGTTTCCTGATGGAGGGAAGGCTTCATGCTATCTCTGCCCTGCTTTTCCTAAGGAACTGCCTTCAATAAGGCATTTGCAACATCAAGCATCATATGTTTAATTTTGTCAGACGACTCCAAGATCCACTGGGAGCAAGGAGTTCAGCTGCTGATGCGGTGAAGGCACGTTGGGATTATCTCCTCATAAGCCTTTGCTGCAAGGCCTGAAAGACGCCGGTGTGAGCCTGTGCATTCCGTGCTCCCTGGGCTGGTTTAGCCTTACTGGAAAAAAAAAGTAATTTTGTAATGCTCAGTTTTGGCCTTAAGAGAAAGATGGAAACTTACATGAAACTTGGGAAGAAGCTTTTCTGTAGGGAGGGCAGGTCCAGCCATTGCCCTGCGGAGATGCAGAAAGCCAGAGGCTGGAGGCTGAGCAGTGCCGAGGGCGATGGGGAGCTGCTTGAAGCAGGGCGCAGGAAGGTGCCGCAGGGTGCGGGGTGCTGCCCGCAGGAGGCTGGGAACCTCCAGCAAGCCTCAGCCCCACATCTGCGTGGGGACAGCGGGGGCATCCAGCCTCCTGCCCAGCCTCGCTGCCCCATGGCCAGCGGGCACCCACAGCACAGCCGGGTGACCCCAGCCACACGCAGGGGAGGCCACGGCCAGGGAAAGCCTTCATGGGACAGGGAAGGGTCGTGCACACCCAGGACCATCCCCTGTACTGCACGTGAGGGAGGTGCCTGTGCACTGCCGAGGCGGCTGCCAAGCAGAGTCCTCCCCAGCTTCGTCCTTCACACGTCTGCTCCATTCCTGTGCCTGAGTGCTTGCGTTTCATTGCTGTAAACCCCCACACCCCAGTAAAACCTTCAGCTATGACTGCCCAGGCACTTTCCCCCCACCCTTCCATCAAAATCACCTCCCTACACCCCCTTCTCCACTTAAATATTGCTCTCTTTTACAGTGCACTATTAATAGTCCCATACTTATTTATCTGTAGGCATCACAGCTACCAAACCAGAGCCACAGATCCAGTGCTGCACCTGAAACACAAATCAGCTTAATCGAGTTTTTCTGCATTGAAGGAATTTGGACAAAATGACCCTAATGTGGGCCCATATGCATCAGCTTTTATCTAGTAAACTACCTCCTCTTCTTTGTTTCTTAAAATCAAGTATCATGGTCTCATTTTGGTATTTACCTTCTTATAAAGCAAACTCACGGGACATCACATGTATTGTTTTTCCTCATTGTCATGCAGGACGCAACATTAACAGTCTATTAGCTAGCAAGAAACCAGTTTGAAGGAACTCCTCTTTACAAGACTTTCTTGCTTCAGTGAAGTCTTTTGATAGAGCTTGTCTGCCAAAAACAAGTCTTCGCAGGGCTCTGAAAAATGCCCGATTTCATATATGTTAAAATGTGCCACTGGGAGATAACGGGGCTGTTTCATGGGAGACAATCGCTGAACACAACAACACAATTTTTCTGTTATGATTGGACTGTGTCACACAGCTAAAGCAAAAATAAGATCAAAAAGCTCTGCATCTGACAAAAGTTAGACTTGTTTTAAATATAGGCACAGGCAGCAGGGGGGATATATATGTGGTCCAGAATTACACAGTGCATCCAAGAGCGCGGTGGTTTTGCACGATCAGAGCTGTTGACAGAGATTAACAACCCTACTGAGACCCATCAGGCAAGCAAGAGGCTTTGTGTGAGAGCTGCCCACGAACTGAAACCTGGAGGGACTGAAGCAACCACATATCAGCTCCTCCGTTCGGATGCAACCGGTTGCTCTTTTGATGGCTTTTGATGTGTGGAAAGAAGTACTACAGCAGTAATGTAAATGCTTTTTTGTGGCTCGGTTTGCAGAGGCAGGTTCCCTTTGAAGACACGCGGTGAGCAGCAGGGTGAGAGGCAGGCGCCCACCCCGTGCAGCCCCCAGCTCCCTTGGCCACCCTGTGCCCGGCACCACGGCCATGGTGCCCTCCTCAGCCAGGCAAGGATGCCGCGTCTGCAGCAGCTTGGTCCAGGCTGCTCCCATTTAACAGCTTCAGGTCATGAGTTTCACCTCTGGGAGGTAAAATGACAAGGGGAAGTCAGAGGTCTGAACACATAAGAACGGGTCGGGAAGCCTCATAGACACTTCAGAGAGAACAGGTCCCCCCAGATAGCTCACAGGCTCCAGGGAGAAACCCAGAATTGCCAGGCCCCATCAAGAGGGGATGCCCAAAGCTTTTTTTCTCTTGCTCCTTCTGTCCTTCCTGCTCTTTACTTTTACCTCTGCGGTGGGTGCCCACCCACTTTTCATCTCTCAGATCTCCACTTTTGCTTTCATTGAAGAAAAGAAATCTCTTAGGCATACTCCTTATCACACCAAAACACGCTTGGGAAGCCCAGCAGGAAGCCGAGCGCAGGCAGTTGCAGAAGTGACTTGCACAAGCGAGTGCACCCAGCACATGCACGAGGTGCAGCACCACCCGTGTGCCTACTGGGGCTGCGGTGCCGTGCCTCCTGCCAGGACTGGGAGCAGTGCTGGTCCTTCCCCCCACCTTCACCCATCTGCACGGCATTAAAACAAAGTAAAACTTGCATGCATGCTGACTTTCCTATCCTCCCTTTACAAGAATGTCATAAAGAACACAGGAAAAAAAAGCGCAGGAAACTAGCAGGAGACTGACAGCAAGACGAGACACGGTCTGCCCCTGCAGGGCTGCTACCAGGAGTTCCCTGCAAGAGCTGTGCGAGCCCCCTCTCCCCGTGGATGTGTTCTCTGCACACCTGTAACCTCTGACACCTGTGTGGTTAAAGAATACCAACCTCCAGAATGAAGGCAATACCAAATGTCATCTTTCTCGCTGGGCTGGGGGGCGCAGGTGCCTCCACAGCAGCACCGCTGGCAGCCCCCTCCTCCGCGAGGCACAGTGCCCCTGGGGCTGGGGCTGGCCTTCCCGTGTGGGATTCCTCCCACACTAAAATGCTGTGCAAGTGGCACTGGCATTCATCAGACACCTTTGGTCAAGGTACCATCAACCTCTTTGCAAATCACAGGTTATAACTCGATGAAATCCTTAGGCAATGCCAGCCCCTGTGGAGCACGTGGCACACAGCAAACACTGGAATTACACCAAAACCTGATTCATTACACTGGCACTGGCATGCATCACATGGGAAATGTTAAATGCTCTGGCACAAAGCCATCCTTGGGGGTGCTGAGGGCAGGAGGAGCCATAGTGAGATAACGAAAAAACTTCACAAAAACTTCTAAGCCTCTGTGCCCATTTTCCAGGTCCATCCGACTGAACTGCTGCATCCTCTGTGGCACTGATAAAGATACCTAGAGATGGAGAGTGGTCGGGGCAAGGTGCTCTTTATTCTGCCTTCATCAGCTGAAGGAATTATTTGGCTTCCCCATGGCATCCTGAGAAGAGAGCTGCAAGCTTGGGTATTCCTGAAAGAGAGAACCTCCAAGTTCTACACCATATATATTTTTCCTTTAAAATGTCTCTAAAGGTCATGCTAACGATGTTTGATCCCCAGTAATAAATGGTAACACCTCTCCTCTCCCTGGATAGTGCTGGCCACTGGAGAGGCGCCCGCTTGTTTTCCAGTCAGGGAGGTGCACTCCACCACGCCAGCTCCTCCCTGCGCTGCTTTAAACACTGACATTTGTAGTTACTTTACTGAGAGATGCAAATATAGTTTTCTAATGACTGTTTTCTAAAGCCTGGCAGGGGAATCAGTGTAATGCTTTTTTGGTAGCTGGCTTTGTTGCCTTTAATACCCCCAAGCACCCCCATCCCACTGCCCCTGCATCACCATACGAGGAGGCTCACTGCTCACACAAGCCGAAGGAAGGAAGCTCACGTGCAGTCTGGTAGTTTAGCTACTAGTTGACCAAAGAGGCAGGTTTTTAGCTCACTCTGCACCAGATGACCCCCCAGCATCTGTCCCACATTGTTTTTGGGGTGCTTCCTTAATGCCATCCCTGAGGACACCCCGGGCCGGCAGGAGCCTCAGCAGAGGCAGGCACAGGAGTGGAAGCAAAGGGCCCTGTGGAAAGGCTAACTTATTAGTGAAGTAATTACTTTTTTTTTTTTTTCTCCTTAATATAGATAAGACTGCAAGCAGGAATAATTAAAGCAAACCTTGTAACCCTTTGGATTCAGAAGCCTGGATCATTAATGCAGAGCGCTAATTAAAGCACGCAGGCCTGGAATGGGAAGAGGAGGCTCTGAGCTCAGGGAGCCAGGTCCTTAAACAGAGCGGCATTTCTGGTGTTTCAGGGCAGCAGCACCCAGAAACTAGTTCTGCTGGCACCAAGGACAAGCACTGACAAAATGACACGAGCATTTAGGCACAAAACCAGGAGAACAAAACCCTTAGGAGCAAGCACAACAAGGGGTGTGCAGAACATCATGCTGGGAATGGCTCTGGCAACAAGAGGACGATTGGGAAGGAGATGGGGAAAGGAGGCAGAAAAGCTCCTGGCAGGTAGTACTGAAAGGCCAAACTGTTTAATATTTCTTTGCTATTGTTTGGCTTCAGCTCTCCAGCAAAAGGACAATTGTAATCAGGCATGTAATGTGATTAGCACCATTGACACAAGAGCAATAACTCAGTATCAACAGAAAAGAGCGGGGTACAGACATCAAATGTTCTCAGATGAGCTGGAGTGACAACATTTTCCTCAAGTTCTTATGGAACTGGCTGGCTAATTTCAGAACGCTCTCCTGCTACCTCCGAGAAATTCCGGAGGAAGAATTAGGCTGAAAACCTTAAGAAGGGCAAACCACTACTCATCTCCCACACCCTATGCAGTGCTCCTCGGGTAGTTTCAGCTCCCAGGAACAAGCAATCAGACCACATATTGGCAAATCCCCAGAAGGTACCATGGAGATGAGCAGTGTACTGACATACCTCTGACAAACTGCGTGAGAGCTGGATATGCTGCCATCATCCAGAAAAGCAGATCTGGTAGCTCAGCATCAGAAATGGAAAGATGTGTCTGGTGGGATCCTGCGTGAGCCCCCTCTGCCTGCTGCTAGTCAACATTTCCAGCAAGGGGCTGCCTGCTGCAGAGTATTCTCACCCCTCCTCCCGGTGATACCAACTGGAAAGGGATGTAGACGTGTTGGAAAACATGATTAGACTTCAGGGTGATTCCACCACATTAGAGAAATTAAATGGAAATCAGGATGAAATCCAGTAAGCGTTAATCCTGCCCAGGAGTAGTAGCTACATGTACATATAGATGTATGGAGAAAGCTCTGGGGGTTGCCTGAAATTAAGTCACCAGTGTTGTTCCAGTACATGCAAGGCCAACATCAACGGGATGCACAACCAGCGATGAGGCCTGCAATATACTTTTTTTTTTTCTTTTGGCACCATGTTTCACAAGAAACTGGTGTTTTTTAAGAGGGAGAGAGAACAAAAATGAACGCAGTGATAGTCACTAAATAGATAATAATCTGTAGAAAGAAACCCAAAACACGGGTTGCTCAGAGAGAGTTTGGAGTCTCCATCACGGGAGGTGTCCAAACCCCACTGGACACGGTCCTGGTCTGCTGGAGGTGGCCCTGCTGGAGCACGGGTAGGGCCAGGTGAGCTCAGAGCTGCCTCCAGCCTCGCTGGATGCTGTTCTCTGGGTTCAGTTAGAACAAGAACCAACAGACGGTGCTGTAGCAGGATAGGTTTAGGTCAAATATTAGGAAAAAAAGCTTAAGAAGCAGAAGACCGAAGCACTGAAATAGATTTCTTTACAGATTTATGGAGAAAGTAAAATGAAAAAAGGCAAGAAAAGCACCAATCAGAAACCTGAGGTACAGTTCATGAGACCTTTTGCAGGATAGCTGGACCAGATGATCTCCAAGAATTCAGCCTTTATTTGGATTAGATTTTAGAGCTCCTTGCACGCAAGAGCTAATATTATTACTCAAATAAGCAAAGGGTGAGAAATGAGCAGGGAAGATGGGCACAGAAAATAAACGATCAAATAACCAATCTGAAATTTCCTGCCATTTAATGCCACATTCCTCGCTAATTCTCTCTAGGAAAGAGATGTTCGGCAATATAGCAACAAAAGAAGAAAAATGCATTTACAGCCTGAAAATGAAATTCATGGCAAGGAAGAGGAAATAGAAGGCACATATGTTCCCTAACTATCTACTCAGCTCTCCAAAATCCGTTAGCAATGAAACAGCACGTGTGAAAAAGCCCTCCTCTAAAGAAAATTTTCCAAATAACTCTGGTTTGGCAACGCCGTGTACTTTGCATTAACAGCAATTAGCTCAATAGAAAAACACAGCAAGTCTTTACTGGAAAGAGTACCTGTTTCATTAAAACACTCGGGCTGAGCTTTCTTGCCGAGGTACAGGTGCAGTGCTGTACATTTCCTCGTTGTTCACAGGTTTGTGCTCGGCTCTTGGCTGCAGTGGGTGCTGCAGATCCACGTGTGGGTGGTACTCAGCTTCCCCCCACCCCTCCCCCCAAACAATTAACACCTCTGAAATTAAATCAATGCCAGGTGGTAAACCCTATTACTGCATGCCAGATAAGGAAGGCAGATTTCACTGTCAGTTCTGTTACTGTATTGGCAACTGTTTTCAGGCTATGAATTCAGCTTCATTTGTCTGACATACAAAATCCCGACCAACCTGCAGCCATCAATACGATACCAGGAATTTGGAACAACCCCTTACATGTTGCAATGGAAATGCACAGAACAAATCAGACCATAAAAACACTTAATTCCAACCTAAATTATCTTTTTTTTTTCTTTTTTTTTTTCTTTTTTTTTTTTCTTTTTTTTTTTCTTTTTTTTTTCCCCTCTTGGAATAAGATCTGTCAAAATGTGTTTACCTATCTATGTGAGAGGAAGATTGAGAATAAGATGTCTGTAAAATATCTATATCTATAGATATTTTTTTTTTTTGTAATGGCAAGGAATTACCAGACCAAGAACTGCACTATTGACATCCTACAAGACTAAAAGTAGACCTAGTTGAAAAGTGCCTGCTGAATACGTATCTGAGAAATACATATACACATATATATATGTGTGTGTGTGTGTGTTTTCCCCAAATTCAGGATTTTCTTTCTAGGTTGATAGATTTGGTCACGTTGTTACTTGCTCCCTAGGACAAAGCTCTGTAAGTTGCCAGGCTTGGCAGGAAGGTTTCATTTTGGGCTGCTTCTGCGTAGGGGAGCGTGTGCTGGGCACTGCAGGTGTCCCTCCCCTACCAGCCCATGAGCCCACCTTGGTGGCAGCTCACACACAGGGACCAGGCAGGAGGGCACCGGGGCTCTGCTCCCCTTCTGGGGCTGCAGGACATGCCACCACTGGCCACATCCCGGGACTAACCCCAGGCTTGTGGATATTTGGTTGCTCTGCCAGAACCTTCCAACCTGAGGAACATTTCATGGGCTTTAATGTTTTGAGCCTGACCTGAGCCGGGACTTCCCCCAGCCTTCATCTCCTCGGCTGGGACCTGGCTGCAGGAGCCAACTCAGGCTGCACGCCAGGCTATCCTCTCACGGCAGCAAGGGCAAACAGCAAGGCTCAGACATCTCTGCTGGGAATTACAGCTGACAATACATAACTGAGCTTTAAATTACCGGCTCCTATCCAGGGCAGCTGTTCTCTAGCGTTTCTTAGATTTATAGAGTTTGAACCTGGACAGGACCATTAAATCCCTCTCACCTGCCCCTGCCTGTCAGAAGACATTGCATTTCGTGTGTTTATCCTGCAGTCCCAGTCCAGGAGCGTGCACCAGGCAAACCGCTGCCTCTGAGCTCGGTTTCAGCAGCACAATGGCTCACCAGCGGCAGCCTGGCACTGCCTGCAAGAGCACGGAGGTGCTGAGCCCACAGTGAAGCTTGGGCTGGCAGGAGGCAGAGGACTGCAGAAAGTTGCTGCTTGGCTTGCACCCCTTCCACAGTGCCTGTCCTTGTGCCCAGGATATGCACTCACGTTAATGCAGCAGCTTTATGGTGGCCGTAACACAGGAGCCCAGCAGCAACCCACCATGCCAGGGAGATGCCAGCAAACGGAGTGAGGTGAGGGTCAGGCCAAGCCTGCGTTTCTCTGACAGCTCCTCACAGGGGATCTTGCTCAGGATCCGATCTCCCCACCTTTCGTGAGCACCAATTTGTCATTTTAAGGGGAGCCGTGACTGCAGAGAGCAGCAACTGAAGCTGCTGTGCTCGTTCCAGTGTCTGCCTGCTGGCTTCTGCACAAGGGATAAAAGGGTGACTTAGTTACAGGAGCAAGGGCTGCAGAAATAAACTGTCCCTAGTCTGTCATCCTATCCCGAACGGATGTACCCTATACATTAACCATAAGATAATATATGGGCAGAGAGGAGTTTCACAACCATGATTCAATCGGAAGAGTGTTGTAACATAATAAACTGGGAGAATGATGGCCTTTCCCATAATATATTCCATTATTGCTGTCTGCTTTAGAACACGTGAATACCTGCTTAGTGGCTTCATGGAACTTAAATGATACCACCAAATGAAAAGAGAGCACACCTTGCTGGCACAGCCTTGTGGAGCAGGAGGCATCGTTGGGTGCAGTCCTCCAGGATGCTCATTGATAGAGCTCCAGGTGGCACCTCGGTCTGCTTGCTCACAGCTGGAGCAAAGTGCTAGTGTGTTGATTCCCTTGGCTCTTCTGTTACATCCTTGGGTCTTATGTTACACGTCTTCTGTCCCCGCTCCCCACCCTACTGTGCATGGTGGCCTTGTCCACCTCTCCTGCAGTCCCCAGCAGCAGGACACCTAACAGCCCCCGGCACTGCCCTTCTTCAGGACCTTCAGGCTGACTGACTTCACTATTTGCATGCAACTTCTCTGCTACAATTCCATTTTGCAACATCAGCTTTTTCAACCTTTTTTATTATTATTATGATTTTCTGGGCCCTCCATATTTTCTCTGACTGTATCTTATTCCTATTTATTTTTCCATTTGTTTCCTTTCTTGTAGCTTCCCTTATTCTGCATGACATTATAGAGCTATTGTGGAACTGCTGATCTGAGACGCATGTGAATATCGTTTAAAAACCATAAATCTCCACCTCGCTCTATGTCAGTATGTCATAATAATATACAAAGAGCTTGCGTGGCAGAATTCAAAGATTCCTGTCACAACCCTGTCACAAATCTTGGAAAATAATTCCTAATTCTTTCATCTGATAACTTCTGAGGAGTTTCACACCCGAAGGGAAGCTGGTCGCCAGGCTCACCACTCATAATGGTCTGGACCCACTAGAGAAAGCCAGGAGGTTTAGATAAACATTTTTTTTTCCATTTGAAACTGAAAATTCATTGAACCCAAAAGTATTAGAGAATATAAATCCATTTCAGTAAAGATTTTTTTAATGGAAAAAGAAGCTCTAAAGTTTGAAATTACCATTTTGCCCCTATAAAACCAGAATTTTCATTTTTATTATGTTTGGAAAGCAAACATAAGGGCAGAGTCACAGTGACCTGCTTCTGATGCCAGTGTGAGAGCTGATATTCACACTGCAAACTCTCCACGGCAAGTCTTTCAGACCTGCATCCTATCCAGATGTAGAATTTTCTATGACAGCAATTTTTTGTCCATAATACTGTGATGCACCCCACGGAGTCAGTGGAAAATGGGGGTTCTGTCAGCAGAAAATGTTCATACTTTGCATCTACTTTCATGCAAGCCCAAGAGAGTAAGGAATAAGAAAGCAGACTCTCTACAATGCCAAATATTCAAGGAATTGTTACGCGGAAATGTCAAAATATTTGGGGAGCCTGTGCCAACTGCAAGAGCGCAGGCAGGGTGAGATTCACGGGTATCTTGAGGCGCTCCCTCACACTGGCTCTGCTCCTGTTGGGCACTCCTGTGTGGGTTTAACGAAAAGTATGGCTTCCTTCTCTGGAAGGGTTTCTGCTGCCTCTCCTTGTGCTGGTTTGTGACCTAAACCTGCCCACGGCCGCCTCTGCCAAGCCCCGGAGCTGGCAGAGGGTGAATAGCACAATTCTGTGGTGGCAGGCGGGGGCAGGAGGGGGGACTGGGGAGCAGCAGGTCGTGGCTTCTGCTGGGCTCATTTTGCCTTTTGTGTGCTTGTTTCCTTTTGTAGGAAAAAAGTAGGGCTGCGTTTCCAAACTGCCTTCTGCCCAACTTGGTGAGCTTTTCTTCTCATAACAGACAAACAAAACAGCAGGCAAACAATGCCATTTGAATTTCTTTTACATGTAAAACCCTTTCATTTAAAGAGAAACTGAAAAAGAAATCACGCTTCAGATTTTTTGGAACTTAATTGCTCTCCTCCCCAGCTCCCCCTCTTCCAAAACCGCCTCAGCAGATAGCAGCGGCTCCTGGCAGGGGATGAAGGAAACCCACGGCTCTGCCCCTGTACTTCAGAGCAGCTTCGAGCAGCAGAAGTCCTGTGGTGACAGCATCGCTTTAGCACTGGAGACAAGGCGGGCAAAGGGGGAGAGAAGAAAAAACAACCGAAAAGCTGCTTCCCTGCACCGAAGAGGGAATATTTTGTACAGGCTGCCATTTGTGTGAACGTGCTGAAGGGCACTGGCTCTGCCTCGTACCAAAGCTCCAGGTGCTCGTTCACCAGCCCCACTGACCCCATATCACCCAGTAGGGCCCAACCCCACGTCCCCCTGGGGCCTGCAGGGACCACCATGGCCCCACAGCCCCTACAGGGACCACCACAGCCCCCTCGGCCCCTACAGGGACCACCACAGCCCCCTCGGGGCCTGCAGAGAGCACCATGGCCTCCCACCCCCGAGCCAGGAGCCATGCCAGGCAGAGGCTGAGGGAAAGCTGGGGGCCAGGCCCGGCACCATTGAGGAGCGCAGGCAGCCACGGGCTGCAGGGCTCGGGCGCTGCACAGCAGCCATGGCAACGGGCTCAGTAATGGCAAAGCTGGAGAGAAGCCGGGATTTTCACTAGGAGGCCGCATCTGGGCCCGGCCGCCTCCCGTCCGGCCTGCACGGGCAGTGCTGGGGGCAGAGGGGACGGCAGGGGGGGCACCAGGCTGCCATGCCCCGGGGAGGTGTTACACACAGGTTGGCAATAAAGCGCATTTGGATGAAAGCAGAAATGTCTGACGTTCCTGGGATAAACTACCGAAACAACCCAGCCTGTTCGATTACGACGTGCACAGCCAAAGCAGCTATTTGAGTCCTATTTCACATCGGCTGAAAATTTTCTGCCTTTTTTGACACTTTCTGCTGTCGGGGCTGGGAAGCTGCAGGCCCCCGAGGGATGTAACAGTGACCCAGGGGCAGGTGGGCACCTCCTGTGCCGCAAGGAGTGCCAACACGCCTGGCACAGGGGTGCCAGCTCTGCCGGGAGGCCCCTGTGTGATTCACACACCTTTAACCTCACCAGCCCTTTCCCAGGGGCAGAGCATAGGAAGCACCGCAGAGAAACCACGACTGCCACCAGAGCAGGCACTTTGGGCAAGGCAGCGCCTGCTCCGAGGACTGTTCCCACACCCCAGGGCTTTTACGGGTGCTGCCAGACCTGCTGGTGGGACACTGTAATTAACAGAGCAGGGGGAGACCACGGATGTCCTGCACAGACTAGGCTGAAGCAGACAGCAGGCTGCATCAGGCCCAAGCCCTCCCCGAGACACGTCCTCGCTGCCCGTGAAGCTTCCACATGCCCTCGGCCAGCTGCCAGGGCTGCCCCTGAGCTCACCGGGTACCCACGAGGTGCCCAACGTCCTGGGACCACCTCCTGGTACACGCATCCCAGACCCAGCCACGCACCAGCACCTTGCTGCTTTCCCATCTGCAGGCTGCAGAACAGACAGCTCTGCCACCCAAACTAGTCTCTGTTTTCTTAATTTACACAGTTATTTTTCCCCACTAGCAGACCTGGGAAAAGAAAATCCGCTTCCAACAACCTCCACTGGATAACAGCCTTTCCTATTTTCTCTCCCCTCTGCAGCAGTATCACCCCACCACGATCATGCCCCCTCCTTCACGATGGTAACAAGTTTATATTCACACACTGGGACTTGGCATAATTTGCATTAGTTCAAATGAAAGAGCTGCATTTAGCACCATATTTTCAATCAACTCACATGAAAGTCAGAGTGGCAGATAAGAGTGAAGGAGAAATTAACTGTAGAAAAGGGGCTTTTTAGTCTGCAGAGGTTGAGTACAAAGCAGGAGAAGGGCATGTTGAAATCCTTTTACAGGAGAATGAAAGTGTTTGCTCTGTTCTTCCAAGCCCTCAGCATGGTAAATTCTAAAAGTAGCACACCAGCAAAAGGGAGAGAGATTAATGGCTATTGTTTCATACAACTGGGTAATCAGGAAGGAAATAACTCAGCCCTAGTAGCTAAATTTAATTTAAGGATATACAAATCTACGCTTAATGGTACACTGGCAAATATATTGCATGATTAAATAAGAGATCTGATGTCAGGAAAGAAACGTGTGCCGACTCCAGCAGTGGGAAAGGTGCTGGTGGAGGAGGACGCCTGTCCTCATGTGGCGTGGCTGCAGCGCCAGGCGAGCAGCACGGAGCCAGGCAGTGAATGGTCCTCAGCTCCAGGGACGTGTGGGGCAGGAGGATGGGAGCGGCCCCGCAGGTGGAGGGCTGGCCTCTCCAGCTCCTCTCTGGGGAAAAAAAGATGGATTCGGAGTCACAGGATGTTGACAAATGTGCTGAGTCAAGCCTGCCTCAGAAACCTGCAGAAAAAGAAAAAAGATGGAGCGTGCACGAGGCAGATTTTGCCCTTGCAGTAAATTTGTCAGTAAAATGCCAGTGGCTGTGGTGCTGGCAGAAGGGAAGCATCATTGTCCCTGGGAAGCAGCCTCAGTGCACAGCATCCCATGTGAATGCAAGGCCATGATGCCCTACACCTGTGCAGCCACGAGCAGGGGATGCACCCAGGCCCTGCTCCGATTCATTAGAGCTAATCAAGGTGTGCAAAGTCCTGTGCTAATGGGCTGCAGCAGTTGGTGCACGCTGCTCCCATGTGGGCTGAGCACAAACCACCCCTGCGGCTGCACAGGGCTGAGCCAGGCAGAGGGAGGCTGGCTCCAGCAGCAGGGCAGGGACAGTCCATGGAGCAGATGTGGATACTTTCAAGGAATAACAAACCACTTCTGTGCAAGTATTCACCTAACAGCTCTAAACCTGCCAGTGCAAACTGCTGCCTGCCCCCTCCCAAACACAGGGCTGGCAGGAGCAGTGCCTTATTTCGGTGCCTGCAGGGGCACTGACGGGTGCTGGGCGAGGAAGCAGCTTCTAGGACCCATGCAGCCATCCCAGGATTTCGCCTCCCCTGCATTCCCCCACCCTAAACAGTAAAGAGAAAGCAGTAGAGAAAACAGGCTGGTGAACCTGTGGGGGACAGTGCCTTTAGGGAAATAACCCGGCATTAGCAGGGCTGCAGGGGCAGACTTAGCACATCCTCTGTTCAAAGTCTTCCCGGTGGCATCAGCACCGCAGCTCTGGGAACGCAGTGATGGGGAGGAGGTGATTCCCTGCCATGGGCTCGGTGCTTGGGCTGAGGGGAGGGATGCAGCCTGGCACAGCCCCGGCAGTGCCTGACGAGGGATGCGGGTACTGGTGCTGTCTCTTGGATTTAGCATCTGCACAGACAACAGACGAGCAATGTGATGACAGCTGCTTCCCCCAAACACGGCTCTCTGACGGGTGCCTTGATCTGTAACATTTGATCTCATCACAGCACCAAGCCCATCAGCCCTTACGGCTCTTTGATCATTCTCTTCATGAATTTTTGCCTTCCTACCATCCAAGGTGCCCACGCTGACAAGGGCATCCTTTGGAAGACGAGGACAACAATCATACTTTGTTTTCAGTCTCCGTGGTGCACTTTGCAGTGTCCGGCCTGCCGGTGGCTCTGCAGCTGGCTGCGGTGCCTCCCGCACAAGCTCCCGACCATGGAGCTGCTGCTGCTGGTGCTGCAGTGAGAGCTGTGAGCACAGCCCTGGCGAGCTCTCAGCAGTGCCGGCCCATTGCCTGCTCCTGCACCTGCAGCTTACATGAAGCAAAACAGAAAAAAGGGAAGCAGAAGGGATCAAGAAAAGGCCGTGGGGGCTGGAGGGAGCGGTGCTGCCCACCAGGCGCTCCGAGCACTGGCACCCTGAGCCCACCACCCCCGGCAGGGTCCCCTCCCAGCACCCGAGCCTGAGCTGAGCAGTGGTGCTGTGCCAGCACGCTCAGCACCAGCACACAGCCGTGGGTGCTGCTGCTTGGAGCAGCACAGAGCAGGGCAGAAAGCACAGCCTGCCGGGGCTGCAGAGAGGACATGCAGCAGGTGCCAAATCCCTGCCTTTTGTTTTTACATCCCCACCTCCTGACGTGGTGCACAGAGCTGCAGGCTCCCAGCCACAGCAGCTCACTGCTGGGTATCGCCCTGAGGAAAGGGGGGGCTGCTCCAAGGGCACCTCTGTGCGAGCGCTGTCATCCCGGTCAAGAGGCGTCGGGGTGGAGTTCAAAGCCAGAGCAGGAGCTGTGCCTGTAATCTGCCTCTGAAGCCAAAAGGACAAAATGCAAGATCAAGGGAGTAGTTAAAATGAGCAAGCTTTGATCTAATACATTAAAGAGTGGGAAAAGCTTATTTTTTGCCAAAAAAAAATTGTTAAATATTAGCTATTAGTAAATCTAAACTGTGAATTTTCCTGTCCAAAGAGATTCCAGTCACTTCAGAAAGCCCAGCCACCGCGCCAGCACTGCCCCGCTCCCCTGGTGGGCAAGAGAGACCCCTGCGTGCATGGGGCCGGGGCACAAGTGCGCACACACACAGTCACACACACACACACACACACACACACACACACACACACACAAAATCGGGGCTGTGCCGGGCCGTTGGGGCAGGCAGCACTGCCATACACTGCGCTGTGTGGCCAACAGTTGTGCTTGGTGGCTGGGTCCTGTGAAGGTCCCTTTTTTGCTGTTTCTGTGCCTGGTTCCCATGAATCAAACAAATGCTCCTTCCCCTGGCTGGGCAGCTGCAGGCAGGTGCCGTGAGCACTGAGCCCGGTGTGTGCCAGGGCTCCACACCACGAGGACTGCTGGCCCTGGGGTCTCCTTGCATCCCAGCACAATTTAATCATGCCTCTACGGATCACCAGGAGCCCAGGCCCTTCCCTTGGGGTAGGAAACCTCCCTTCCCCTCTCCTTGCTGCAGGAGGGGTGCCAGGGGGCTGCAGCCCAGTACCAGCGGGCATGGGGGGCAGGCTGGGATCACAGCCCAGGTCAGAGCACACACACCCAGCCCCGGGGGGCTGCGGGCAGCAGAGCCCTGCTGCAGGGCTGCGTCGCCTCCAGCCCCGTGCCCGCCTGGTGCCGACCTGACCTGAATGGGAAAGCGCTCGCCACGGCTTCCTTACCCACCGACAGGGCTCCCGGAGCTTTGCACAGCTCAGATGGATACGGAGCCCTGTTTAGATAGCGGGTTTCATGGAGCAGGTGAGTTTAATGGAAGCTTATAGGGATGTTTATCACATCACAGCTCGATGCCAGGCAAAGCAGCTGTAGCACATCAGATCAAACAGACAAGGGGATTTGCGATGCGGGAGAGCCGTGAGCACAGGGAAGCACGCAGACAAGCACGGCACAGGCAGCAGGGAGAAGAGGAAGGGATGCAGAGCAAGTATTTAATCATAAATATTTCAAGGTATGAAATTCCAAAAATCTGCCCAAGTAGGTCAGTGGCTTAGGCTGGCAGCTTTTGGGGATGCACAAGGCACACCACACGTGCTCCCCTCTGGCACTCTGCTGTGCTGATTTCCACTGGCTGCGTCAGGCAGACGTTTGTGTAAAGGAGACCGCGAGCATCTCCTGTCTGCGGGGACAGGGCTGTGCTTGGGCAGCCAGCACCCACAGCTCTGGTGGCAGCCAGGGGCTCGTGGTGGGACCTGAGACCTCAAATCACAGAGGTCTGCACACGCTTCTAAGGGCTTGTTTCAGAGAAGGGCTCATCCTCACGAATCCTGCTGCCCCGGAGCGTCCTGACCTTTGCTGTGGCTTGCATGGAAGCCTCTAGGTGCCTGTATTTATGTGTGCTCCTGGACAAACCCAGGGCTGGCTGCATGCCACATGGGTGGGCACTTTGGAAGGATGCTGAGCCTCTCCCCCTCTGCCTGCCTCTTTCCTCTGAGCACCCCCGCCTGCACCTCCCTTCCTCCCCCCATCACCCCAGCCCCCTAGGGCTCTCAGGGAGGCGATGGCTCCCCTGCTATCAATACAGCACTGAGAACAGGTGCTTGCATCTGCTCTGAATTTCACTCCTGTCCAATATATAAGATTAAATGTAAAAAGTACAGTCTAGCAGTGCTGCAGCATAATTACACAAATCTGGACTATCGCATTTTAAATGCTTTGGAGGAAAAGCAAGGAGAATGGCTCTCCAGACTGCAGAAGCATCCCAGCATTATTGACTTTTAAGTAAAAATACCTCATGGCAGGCACAAATTAAAATTTTTCAAAACATGACCTCCTTCCCCAAAAGATAAAAATGAAGCCTATTTTTCATTTCCTTTTCTGTGTTAAATAACACCCCCAAATTGATGAAATAATAGCTATTGGCAGCAAATCCATACCGGAGTTATTTAGAATGCTTTTGTCAAGGGAGTTGAATAAAGGCCATGGCACAGAGCTATGCGTTAGGCAGAAAATGTCAAAAGACTGGCCTTAAGCCCATTAAACTTTATTTTTGTAGAGTTAACTTCCAGCTTCTCATAATAAAGTGTTCCCTTGAAGTTCTTAACTTGTCTGAAAGTCTTGAGAAAAATTGAAATAAACTACAAAAAAAAAAAATCACCTTTTGCTGTCATCTCAGATGAATGCTGACCAGAAGCATACTAAAACAAACTGATGTTGTTACTTGAAAAGTAACCGAGCCTGGGAAAAAGCTAGAAGCTAGCTGTGAAAGTTGCACTTCCAATAGTCCCAAAAGTAATTTTAGAAATGAACACCACTGCGCTGGCAGGGAACCCCCCTGACTGGACGTGAATTGCAAACATAGCAGCAGATTTGCTGTTCAATAGCACGGCCGAGGTGCCTCCCAGCCTCCAGTACCAGCACAGCCACCTTCGCTGTTGTCTTGTGGAGCCAAGCACAGCCCTGGTGCCATCACAAAAAGAAAGGAAGAGTAATTTAAACTTTAGCTTCCAGCCACACCGAGGCCCTCTCCTTCCTGGGCACTCTGCACGTGTTTCAGCTTCCTGCCCTGCAGGACAACAGCACCCAAAGCCACCAGAACCAAGCAGAACAGCCCATACCCTGCACTGCTGCAGTCCAGGACCTGAGGATATTGGCTGCAAAGCCCGACCTCTTTTCCTGTTTTCCACGTGCACTGTGTGACAGATGGCAATAATAACGCTTCTCCCAGCTCAGCTGCAGCGTTCACCTAACCAGGCAAACCCCGTTAGATAACCTACAGGGCAACCTTTCCTAAAGTAATTAAAATAGCAAAGTCATTAGCTATTCATTTTAGTCTGCAAAATACCCATCCTAAAATTAGTTACCGTTCCCAGGTGAATGTTGTAGCACTGATTAGTTTTCACCTTTCTGCAGATTCACCTTTGCTATCAGAGCCAACCACCGCGCTCCTCAATAACCTCGGGTGCCGGCTGTGGGGATTTGTGCCCTGGTGTCAGCACACGGCGTGTGGAACGAATAGCCCAGCACCGGCAGATAATTAAAACACACTCTGCTTTTCCTGCAAAACCTTCTCCCACGTCTCTCTCGGGGATTTGTGTGTAGGGCAGTGCTGTGCTAACCCTCTGCCGGGGAGCACCGCGGTCGGGCTGAGCCCTGCCCGTGCCTGCCAGCGCCTCAGCTGCGGCTCTGGGAGGTGGCGGCGAGGCACGCTCCAGGCACGCTGCTCTGCTCATTCGCAGGAGGCAGGGAGATGAATAAAAACCAGGCTGCCACTGCAGCAGCAGGAGAGGCGGCTGCCAGCCACACGACTTGCAGAGACGACAGGAAAGACCTGTCTGGGAGAAAGACACCAAACACACAGCTCACCCCACAGTGTAAGGGAGGGTGTTGGGTGGATAATACAGCAGTAACTGGCACATTTAGATGGGAACGCTAAAACGAGTAGCACTAGCTTCTTGTCGCGTCAGGAAAGAGCTGAATTTCAACTGCTTAAATTTTAATTAGATTCAACTTTTAGGGTGGTCAGTTTTAATTCACGCTTTAACATTTAAACTTCATCCATCACTGAACACTGCGCTGCTGCTGATGATGCAGAGATCTTGAAAAAATTCCCCACATGCTTGGGAAGCAGGAGTTTCCTTTTCAGTCCAGCTTAAAAAGAAACACTGGAGAGTTGGACTGGTGTCTGAGAGAGGAACTGCACGCTGCCAGGTGCAATGAGCATCATCCGGCAGAGCAGGGCTGCGGCTCGTGCTGCTGCACGTGCACGTCTCTAACTTAGGGGCTGGAAAGCCTCGGGGGAAGCACAAGGTGGTTTCTGTGAAAATAACCCGATTTCAACTATCGATGCTGAATGTGGGTTAAACGTTGCTTTTTAAAAGCTTATCTTACAATTTCTCAACCAGCTGTGAAAGGAAACCCTGCAACAGTCAGAAATATTGGTGGATTAGGTGCAAAGGGAAAAAAGAAACAAACCTTTCCTGTCGGCGTGGAGCGAGAGTGCCCACGTGGGGAACCCCCTCTCCCCAACACTGCATCTCGGCAGTACCCCCTGCACCATGTGGCTGTCACCAGCCGCCCGATGGTGGCACCGCCGTGACCTGGTGCTGGTGTCCTGCTGCAGGACACACCTGTGTGCACTGCGACTGCTGCCCCAAGCAAAGCCTGCATTGTACCGGGAAGCACCGCAGTGCCTCTCGCCCTGCTGCCATCCTTCATCTCTGCACCGTCGTGCAGTCGCCTCGGGGGCAGGTAGGCTGCAAAGCTGAGGATGACAAGGAGGAACCCAAAATGCAAAGGCTGAGGTGCCGGAATTACAAATAGCACTGGGGGAAAACAAAGTATGAAGTCATTCATTAACAGCAGCAGCACATCGAATGGCACAGACAAGGCTGGATGTGTTTTACGTCTGGGACCAAGGCTACAGCATTTGTTTCAGGTGGATGGCAGCCCGGGATCAAGCAGGAGAAAGACGTCAGAGAAAACAGCTTGAGATTGCTGTCAGTGATGTAAATGCATCACAAAATACTGAGTTAATCAAAGCATGTTCTATATCATTAACAATCAGTTGTGAGAACAGATTAGGAACCCAAAAATATGCAAAAATCTGCTACAAACAGTCTCCTGGCAAAAGACACATTGCACACCATCGAGCGGGGCCCTACTGGTTGTGCTTCTATTAAATATTAATGATTTAAGCAACACAAGTGAGGAAACTGTGAGTGACATCAGTGTAGGAATGATTACAAGTGCTTTGGTGGATAGGATTAGAATTCAAAGTGATCTTGATAAATTGGAAAATGGTCTGAAATCAAAGAGACAAAATTCAATAGAGACAAGTGCACATACAAATGAGAGAAAAACAAATATTCAGATACCAGAATAGGGATCGCCTGCTAGGCAGCAGAATTGAAAAAAGAAGCAACAATGACAGCTGAAAACAAACCGAACATGAGTTAATAATGTCATCCTGTCACTGAAGCAAGGCACTGGGACCCGCAGCAGCCGGCACGGTGCGTCAGATGTGCCAAGAAGTGCTGCGGCTCTCCCCAGGGCTGCTGGCACTTGGGAGCAGGCCCCCTGCATCACAGCTACATGGGGACAGCCCCGAGCCACACGGGACATGGGCTGTGGTCGCACAGGGGTGCTGGAGCCAGCCGGGGCTGCTCAGAGCCCTGGGGAAGCGCGAGGCCAGGCGGCGAGCGGCTGGGGCAGCACCAAGGGGCCCGGGCTGGCTGCTAGGGGAAAGCTTTGATCACCTGGAAGCTGCACACTGGGAGAGCGTAATTAGGGAGGGGGCGGAATACCTCTCGGTTGTGAATTTTGAGACAGGCTTGACACGTTTTGGTATCTGTCAAACGTGGCTTAATTATAGCTAACCCTGCCTCAGGTGGCAGAGGACGGGCTGATCTCCTGAAGCTCGCTGCAGCGTGATGCCTGTGTGCAAGCTTGCTCGCTTCCCCTTCATCGCCTGATGTCGTCTGTGTGCGTCCAGGTGGGCAAACAAAATGCAGAACAACCCTAAAATGGGTAACGATCTGAGAATCATCCCTCCCTGACACGTTTCCCCCTTGAAAACTTGTTTTTGAGCTCAGCCTTATGGCAACTTTTAATCCACGCTGGGGTACTTCACTGATACCTTACAGGAGCATCTTTGTGGTACCACACCATGCCAGGCCGGGTCAAGTCAATGCATTTCGGCACTGTGATCTCTGCTCAGATCAGTCGTGCAGCGTGCTGTGCTTATGTACCTGCCCGGGGGAGATAAGCTGCATCCTGCTCCTCTGCCATTTCCAGCAGCACATGACGCTGGATGCTCGTGGCCGTGTGCCATCTGAACACCTCCTGGCCGGTGGTATCGCTGCGAGAGGTCACTGAAGGTAGCAGTCGTGGGCCTGGTTCTTCCCATTGTGCATGCTGAGCACCTTCCTCTTCCTCCCAGCAATGACAGACAAGGAGGGAGATGCTCTCCAGGACACCAAGAGCATCCAGAACTGACCCACAAACATCCCCAGTCTGCTGTAACTGTAGGGTAATAAGTCACAGGATCACAAACAGACAATTTTCTGGGCCACATAAGCTTTTAAAATCACAGGCTGCTTGAAATAGTGCATAACTTACAGAACATTTATAGTTTGCTTTAAAACATCTTCAGCTGAGAAACTACCTGTTACCGTCTCCGTGAACATCCCTCACTTCAGGTTGGAGCTACTCCGCCTTTCAAATTCGCACCCCAAAGCTTATCTCATATGCAGGGCACTGGGGTGTGGGGTGGGAGCTCTGTGATACATATTTTCTTAAATTAAAAAAAAAAAAAAAAAAGGCACCTGTAATTTTCTACAAAAAGCATCTCTTTGACAGAACATTTGGTTTTGGGGACTTTGCTCATTAAAAAAACTTGAACAAATCTGAAAACTGAAGTTATAGCTGAAAATGTAGATTTTCCACTTGAAGGTGGCAGATACTGCCAAAATCAAGACTAAATAAGGTCATATTTCAGAACTGGATCTTTATAAAGTTCCCATCCATTTCTTGATAGGAGTGTGAATTATTTGCACAACATGGTTTGGCCATTGCTTTCTTCTCCCCTCCTTCTGCACAGACATTATTGAAGAAAGAGGAGTGAGCACGAATCAGCCTCAGCGTGCACTTCCCCATCCTTTTGTAGTTCAATAATTTAGGCATTTTTGTCCTTCTTTCCTTTGGCTGCTGGTAGAACACGGCATAATTTTGTCACGCTAACTGAAAGGGGTTGCAGGGATCTGATGGCAGCACGAACCCACCTGGGCCCTCTCCCTTTTCACTCCTTCCCTTACGCGTGCCAGTTTTCACAGAGAATGTCTGAGGACAGCAAAGCAACAGAAGCTAAAATCCGGCGTGTTTAGTGCAGTTATATGGGCCTTTAAAAATAGAAATACTGCACAGAGCTTTCCAGGTAACTGTCCTGCAGCTTAGACCCACCATAAACATGCACATTTAGCCTAAAAAAGGTGGAATGAGAAGCAAAGCTCCACGCCAGTCCCCAACTGGCCTGCTGCCTCAGCCGCACAGGAGCTGTACATCAGCACATTTTCAAAGCCAGACCTTTTACAAGGTACTTTTTACGCACCCACCAGAGAGTACGTGATGTTTATGGTAACTGCCCGGAATCATAGCATGCAAAGTACAAACATTTTCCTCGTGGTGAGGTATTTCTGTACTGATAGGAGGAATTCCTGGACATCCTTTCCTCTCATTTGTTCCTCATGGACTGACAACGTGAAAATAACTCATGCCTTGGGGTGGGGGTGGTGTGGGTCATCATCTGCCCATGAACAACCTCCTCCTGGGGGCTTTGCCACACTGTGACCGTTTGCATTCATCCCAAGGGAGACACAGAACCCCTGCTGCCCCCGTCCTGTTCCCGCTCCCTTCCCACACAGCACCGTGGCCATACACAGCCACCACGATGCATCGAGGCACCCAGCCTCTTGGGGCCGGGCTCTGTGGGGCCAGGAGGGCAGCAGAGGCGTTGGATCTCCCAATCCCACAGCTTCCTGCCAGCAGGGAGGGGACGCGGAGGCAGGTGGGTGCCCAGTGGGCAGGACAGGACGTGAGCAGCACCCAGCAGGCTGGTGGGGCTGCTCAGCATCAGCACCGCCTGGGAACACCTCATGAGCTGCCTGTGTGCTGCAGCCCCGCATGAGGCACCCCAATTAACCTGTAGGGACAGATTTTAAGTTGATGATTTGCGGTGATCATCCAGAGAACATCTACTTTAGAAAACAGGTTTCGCTGCAGCGAGGCTATATCCGAGCGAGGATAAACAAGAACAGAATTTCCTACATTCATTCTAGCGTATGCATAAAAGATATCTTCCTTCACCTTTGCAAATAGGGGACAATGGTAATTTGTTATGTGCATTAAAATTATAATAATGCTTTTTGGTACCATCAAGATTACATTAGGAAGCTCTGTGTTCCCAAAGGGAAGATTAAAGTGCAAGTCTAATAGCATGATTTGTTCTTCAGTGGAGCACTCTTGTGCAGCTTGGAACAAAATATTCCCAGCAGAAAATATCCTAAAGCGCCTGTGAGAACAGTTTCTTTGCTGCACCAGGACTGTGGGAAGGTGAAAGCTGCGTTTTCTATTTTTGTTGATGAGTTTTCTTGAACACCGGAGAAGCAAAATCCACAGGTAGGCGACCCGTCACGGCGGAAAGCTGGCGTAACTCCCTGCAGAAGCTGCACACAGCTACCATAAGAGAAATTTGACTTCGAGGTGTTGGGTTTTGGGTCCTGCCCTCCCCTGGTGCACTGCCTGCCATTGCAAAACCCTCAGAGCGAGGCAGCTGGAGCCCAAGGGGAACAAAAGCAGCCCAGGACCATCAGGGAATGGTCCCAGCAAGGCTGGCAATGACTGCAGCTGCCGGTCCCTGCCCCCTGCAGCACCTGGGGGTGCTCCCTGCCAAGCGCCCTTCCAGAGTGAAGAAGGAAATCCCCGGCTGCCCCGGTGAGGAGGGCACACACTGACACCCAGCCCTGAGCAGCTGCGAAGGCAGTGCTCGAGGCCGTGGTTAACTCGGAACCATTAACAACAGGACCAAGGAAAGACACCTCGGCTGGGGCAGCAGCATGGGGCCCGCCTGCCCGGCAGCGCTCAGGAGCTGGGTGAGCTCTTCTGGAGATCCTGCTGTCCAGAACATGACTTCACCTGTAAGCATAGGTTTGGTTTTATGGAAACCTACCTTGCTTAACTAGATCTTTGCAAATTCACTTTGAGCTCAAATAGCGCTCAGTACACAATGAAGAAACCGTGTCTGACTTTGGAGATCATAGGACTGGTGCATGGCCTTTTCTTATCGCAAATTCAGATACTCACAGAAAGCCAGACACAACTGATGACACAGCACACACTGCAGCATCCAACCACAACGCACCAGCCTTCTCCATTCCTCTGAGAAGTCCACGTGCTTTGTCTAAACTCACCGGTCTCTTTTCTTCCCTCCCCATCTCTCTGAATCACGCTGCAAACAGATTTCCTTTTGTCTTCGAGATAATCCCAAATGTCCTATGGACAACTTCTGCAGAGACCCTCACACGTAACTCCCCTGGTTTCTGCATGGTTCTCACGTACTTTCAGCTCCCAGGGCCGTGCCACTGGAAATCCCACTTCTGGAGGCAAGACCTGCCGGGCAGCACCATCCAGGAGTCACCTCCACTGCTTCCCTCTCTCCGGCCACGTGAAGGTTTGTAGGACAGGCAGGGTTAGGCCCAACAGAGAGATCCATGCTGCGCTTGATATCAAAGACAGCACAGCTGAAAGCCTCTCCATTTAGCACAAACCATAGCCAGCATTCAGTGAAGAGCTGGAGCTACCCACGGAGACCTAAACCAACACTTCCAACCAAAGTGGTAAACCTGTGTGTACCTTCTTCTTTGAACTTAAACTCCATATATATGTGTGTATATATATATTTTTTTATTTTTTTATTTTTTTATTTTTTTTCTCTGGGAGATGAATCATGCAACCTTTTGCTAAGTCTGCTGCTACGCTTCCCACCACCCCAAAACCAACACCTTGAGTTTGCTGTGAAAATCTCTAGAGGATCTGAGAAGCCAAAGAACACACAGAATTGTCATCCCAGGCTGCACGCAGTGGACTGACTGGCAAGTCCTGTGCACGTAGGTCTCATTTCCAAGATTAGTCATAGAAAACACATAGAAAAAATGACGTGCTGTTAGGTACACACTGCATTTCTTCTGGTTCATGGAGGAAAATGGTCTTTTGCCTGCATTCACAACTCCTTCTAGATTTTCATTAAGGGTTGCTTTCCCTGTAATGGACCACTTCCACTTTTAATCTTAATTAGCAGGAAACTAAATTCCTGCCAAGCTCTATTCTGCTTCAGTATATAGCTGAAGATGTATGGGGAATCCTGGTGCCACGCTGAAATTAATGATCTTTTCTCTCTCTGTAAAACCGTGATGGAAGGTAACAGAGAATGATAATTCCAAACACCTGACAGAGGAATGTCCCCAGATGGGCTTGAAACCCTGCCTGTGACGGAGCGGTCAACTGCTGATGCACAGCATAGCTCTTCTGGACATATTGAACGCTTTAAGCCTTTTTTATCTGCTATTAAAAGAAAGGCTTAAAAAGGCAAAGCACTGGCAGGCAGCACAACCAGCAGAATTCGAAAGGCAGACACAGCAGCACAGAGAGAACAATTAGAGGCCCAATTAACATACAAGCAATACATCTCTTGAACAGAAGTAAGGATGCTTGCTAAAAGTGGTCTTTGACTCAGCATTTTCTCAGCTGATTTATTTTGGAGAGAAAACAAGGTATATATATATATATATATTTTTTTTTCCTTGCAGATTTGCTCAGCTATTTATATCATGTCTCGCTTGTTGGCCATTTCTCTATTACTTTGCCCATTTAAAGCATCCATTACAAGGGCCAGGAATACACGGCTTTCATAAACAGCTCTTCATGCACACGGCAGGAATTACAGAGGCACCAGCAGCAGACTGGGCTCATGAGCTGCTCCCTCCTGCTGGCAGGAGGTAAGAAATGGATGGGGGGCTCCATGGGCTTCAGGGCTGCAAGGGGAAGCCTTGGGGGAAGCCGCCCCTCCTGCAGCTCCTGTGGTCTGCAGGGCAGGGAACTCCTGAGCCAAAGGCAAGGTTGGGGCAGCACCGAGGTGGGCTTCTGCCAGCAGGTGGGAGCTGCCTGTGTCGTGACAGCCTGCATCGCTGTGCTGCCAAGGCACGGAACCAACAGCAGTGACACAGGCAGCTCATCACCTCCACCCTGCTGCCCCTCTCACAAATATCCACCTGTCTGTATTTATTTCTGCATGCTTAGCTCCAGTGACTGAGTACCCGAAATGCAGAGGTAATCACCTTTCATGGTTGCTGTTCTTGTGTATTTCCAAATGAAAATTGCTTTTCTTCATATCTTTATCTGCACATTGCTCAAACCATGGATTTTCTCTCATTGTCAGACCTTGATCTTGATTGGGACCCCTGGCACTACCAGAATGTAAAGTGCCCTATGTATTAGTCAGAACAACAACAGCCTAAGAATAGGTCCAAAGAAGAGAAAGAAAATAAATTAAGGAGAGCAAATAAATAAGTATAATTTAATCAAAAAGGTGACAAAGTCAAGGCAATAAAATGATTATTCTCCCTACAACATATAATTAGCTCTAATCCTAACTACAAGATTTTCTTGAAACCAAGGACACAACAGGTTTAAAAATTTAGAGGAGTTTTCATATTGTTGTTTTGGCTTTGTTTGTTGGTTTTAGGAAAAAAAAAAAAAAATCCCAAACCACAGGAGAGCAGTTGAAAAGCAGGCAGCATTCAGGGCTGCCCCTTTTTGCTACTGCAGGGCCTTTTGCTGCAGAAGGGAATCCTCCTCGCCGCATGCATGGCAGGAGCAGCAACACCACGCCTGCTCCTCTCCAGACAGCGATGGACACGGCTGGTGCAGACGACTGCCGGAGCACTCAGGCTGCCCAGTCCCTGCCAACTAGGTGTGTTCCTCACCCAGCAAACACCTGCTCATGTGTTCATGATTAATTTTATTAAAATGTGCTCAAATACAAAACCTGCATTTATGCTCGCAGAACCAAAGCAGGGTCTCTGCCCGCAGGAGGTTGCACTGAATTGTTTTTCCAAAGCCAACACCAGCCCGGCACTGGCCACTCACACCATGGCACGAGGAGGGAAACGGCCACCAAGGCAGCCAAGCCACACAGTTCTGCCACCCTTCTGCTCCATCCCATGGGCACCACATCTGCCCACAGAGCTTCTCAGGCCTTCGGTGAGGGCCATCCCTGCCTAGCACAACCCAAATGTTCCTGCCGACCTCAAAGGCTTGGGTGAGAAAAAGGGTAGAAGTAACCCAAAGTGATGGCAGCCCTTCAGAGGGCAGACCACACCAATCTTCCTCCGTGTCCCCACACCCACTGGAGGCATGAGCTGCAGCACTGCTGTCAGAAAAGCTTTCCAAAGCCTCATGAGGACAACTGGCACACGCGATGCCACCGAGTCCAAGGGCTGGCAGTGGCACCGGGCTGCTCCCATCAAGGAAAGGGATCCTTGCACCCTCCAACTGGGGAGGGGCTTTGCACAGCCGAAGGACGTGGGTCAGCGCCTGCAATTAACTGCACTGAGCTGCTCTGCAAAACATGGCATTTACACGGAATTAAAATGGATCGACCTGCAACTATTTTGTCAAGATGGATCTCATCAAGACTGGTTTGCATAAATATTCTAATCAGTGTGCTCATCCTGCCCCTCTCCTTACAGTCGGTGATAAAGTTATGCTTTTCTCAGAAAATTATTCATGATGTTTATTCATGATGCTGCTTTTCCAGGGAGCTGCGATCCTCGGAAGCGCAGCACTGCGGCGAGGGCCAACCACCAGCATCCACCAGGCACGACGTGGGGCTGCAGGCAGTGGAGGGACGTGATCGGGGTGGGGGGCTGCACCAACACCGCACACCCAGCTCCGGGCACCAGACAGAAACCAGACAAAGCTTGGGGACTCCCCGGAGTGATTTGGAGCCTGCGCTGCCAGTTCTGTGCAGAGCGAGAGGCTGCAGGCACTTGACCTCCATAATTTATCCAAAGGAAGAGTAACGGCCGGTTTCATTGCAGTCTTTAGTACCACCATGGGGAGGTGATTCTGAGACCAGGCAGCTCTTCAATTTAGGAAAAAAAAAAAAAAAAAAAAGTCATAATGAGAGCCAAAGGCTGGAAGGTGAAACTAAACAAAGCCAGAGTAGGAATAAAGTTAATTAAGCAGTAAAGCAGCTCACCTAATATGGAGCAGATTGCCCATCATTTGAAGTCCTAATTAGCTGATTACCCTTCAAGCACTGTCCTGGCTGGGAGGCAGGGTTTCCCGGGGGGCTCCAGGTGGGAGCTGTGCACAGGACGTGTGCCCAGATGCTTGCCTTATGCGGGGCTGGGGATCTGCTCAGCTTCCCAGACAACAAGGGGAAATACAGGCTAAGGATTTACAGGTGTTTACAAGCTGATTTCACAGAATCACAGGATGGCTGGGGATGGAATCACAGAATCACAGAATCACAGAATTTCTAGGTTGGAAGAGACCTCAAGATCATCGAGTCCAACCTCTGACCTAACACTAACAGTCCCCACTAAACCATATCCCTAAGCTCTACATCTGAACGTCTTTTGAAGACTTCCAGGGATGGTGACTCCACCACCTCCCTGGGCAGCCCGTTCCAGTGCCTAACAACCCTTTCAGTAAAGAAATTCTTCCTAACATCTAACCTAAAACTCCCCTGGCGTAACTTTAGCCCATTCCCCCTCGTCCTGTCACCAGGCACATGGGAGAACAGGCCAACCCCCACCTCACTACAGCCTCCTTTAATGTACTTATACAGAGCAATAAGGTCACCCCTGAGCCTCCTCTTCTCTAGGCTGAACAAGCCCAGCTCCTTCAGCCGCTCCTCATAGGACTTGCTCTCCAGGCCCCTCACCAGCTTCGTCGCCCTTCTTTGGACCCGCTCAAGCACCTCGATGTCCTTCTTGTAGCGAGGGGCCCAAAACTGAACACAGTACTCGAGGTGCGGCCTCACCAGAGCCGAGTACAGGGGGACGATCACCTCCCTAGCCCTGCTGGTCACAGTGTTTCTGATACAAGCCAGGATGCCGTTGGCCTTCTTGGCCACCTGAGCACACTGCTGGCTCATATTCAGCCGACTGTCCACCAATACTCCCAGGTCCTTCTCTGCCTGGCAGCTCTCCAACCATTCCTCTCCCAGCCTGTAGTTCTGCTTGGGGTTATTGCGCCCCAGGTGCAGGACCCGGCACTTGGCCTTGTTGAATTTCATACAGTTGACCTCCGCCCATCGGTGCAGCCTATCCAGATCCTCCTGCAGAGCCTTCCTACCCTCGAGCAGATCGACACACGCACCTAGCTTGGTGTCATCTGCAAACTTACTGAGGGTGCACTCAGTGCCGTCATCCAGATCATTGATGAAGATGTTAAAGAGGACCGGCCCCAGCACCGAGCCCTGGGGGACACCACTAGTGACTGGCCTCCAACTGGACTTGGCTCCATTTACCACAACTCTTTGGGCCCGGCTATCCAGCCAGTTTCTAACCCAACGAAGCGTGCGCCAGTCCAAGCCAAGAGCAGCCATTTTCTTGAGGAGAATGCAGGCACCTTACAGCCCCCTGCCCCCAGCCCCATCCAGCCTGGCCTTGGGCACTGCCAGGGATGGGGCAGCCACAGCTCCTGGGGCAGCCTGGGCAGGGCCTCACCGCTGGCAGAGGGAAGGATTTCTTCCAAATTTCTGATCTAAATCTACCCTTTTTAGTGTCCTTGTCCTATCCCCACACCCCCTGACACACAGTCCCTCCCCAGCCCTCCTACAGCCCCTTCAGGCCCTGGCAGGCCGCTGTGAGCTCTCCCTGGAGCCTTCCCTTCAGGCCGAACACCCCCAGCCCCCTCAGCCTGCCTCCATAGGAGACCTAAAAAAGCCTCGGTGCCAAAGTCACTTTTAACAGCAGATATTAGCCTTCCAAACCATTTTATCTGGCATTCCTGAAGGAAACAACACCTAGGTGACTTTAAAACCCCTGTGGGCCTGAGGTGGGACAGCTGAGGCAGGGGGTCCCAGCACCACAGGCAGCCTCTGCCATCGGCACAGGGATAGCATCTTTGCCAGGCACATGAAAAGAGAGCTAAATACTGCCAACTGTACAGATGTCTAGTACCAGCAGTGGTCATCTGAACTTCTCAAAATAGCCCAGACAGGGAGCTGCAAACATGAAGCAGCGAAAGCTCCCAAGAGCAGCAATATTTCAGAGATGCACCTGAAAAATAATATAGTCTGGCAGCTTTTGCAGCAGGGGCTTTTTCAGACCACACCGCATCCTATATTGGAGAAAAGGCAAAATAGATCCTGAAAGCTCGTGATCCAGCAGATGCTTGCCTTGTGAGCTGGTTATGCTCCAGTTCCTGTCTCCAGCAGTGGGGCAGCACTGGATATCTCCGAGCATCCCCACGAACACCAAGGTGTTAAGACCCTGTGGAGCAGCCTCCCCGATCAGAGGTTGAGCCATACCCAGCCCGATGTCCCATCAGTGCTTTGATACCTTACTGCGGTGCCTGATCATGGGTAGGAAAGTGGTTGGAGATCAACCAGGAAAATGGGAGCCATGGGTGCCACAGTCACATATTACTGATTTTGCTGCCACACCAAAAGCTGCTGAGAGAAGGGAAAACAAAGAAAAAATTCAATGTGGCAAGACTCAGGGAAGGAGGCACGTTTTACTGAGCAAAACACAGGGGAAATGCCATGAGTCAGCAGAACAAAAGGGAAGGGGAAGTGCTCCCACACAAAGCAGAGGAGACTTCCTAACCTGTTAGCTGTGAGGAGTTATTGGTACTGCAGACATGGGGTGCACCCCTAGCAGATGGATGGGGAAATGCAGAAGGTGAGCAATAGAGAAAGTGGGACATGATAAATATGATAATATAAATGATAAATAAATCATTAAGGAATAACACAACCAGGGAGGGATTTTTATTTACTTTTATTTTTATTTAATGAGACCTAAGACTTTGCACAAGAAAAGTATGTGACTGTTCTCTAGGTGCTACAGAGGAACAGGGGGGACTGCCACTTCCAGAGGTCCTGTGCAGAAGAGAATCCAGCAGGAGAAAGAGCAGGCAGTGCTGAGTTGTGGTACCAGCCCCACCGCCACTCTGATCTTCATCACCACAGGCACACTGGGAACAGGGCTGACATGTTTTCCAGGGGAAAACAAACAAAAATGGCAAAATTGGAGGCTAAACAGAAGGGGGTTAAAAAAAAAAAAGGGGGGGGGGGAGGGAAACAACAGAACCCGCTCTGCAGCTACCAGCTCTTGTGAAGGACAACAGACAAGTGCAAGTTAGGATAAAACATGTCTTATAGTTAGCATGGGGCTGAAAACAAGCCGTGTTTAAAAGAGACTGCAGAAAGACAAACAGAAAACTAAAAAAAATAATAAAAAAATAAAAAATAAAAAAAACACTAAAATCTGCCTTTGCTAAACTGGAATGACCTCCCAAAGAAAAGCAATCTTTCACCATTCAGAAATTAAAGCAGGCATATTCAGAACTGCAACAACACTTCATAATCTTTGAGAAAGCAACAGTAGGAGGAAACCAAAGGTTGAAGAATGACGAAGAACACACCAGCTCACCCGACCTCCTACCAGGCATTCAGTAACGCAGCAGCTTTCTCCGTGTGACATTTAACTGAGGCCTGTGGAGCTCTCTGGTGACAGGGACCAGAGGGTCCCAGTGAGCGAGTACTGGGCACAAGAGGCACAAGACCTGCATTCTTGCTAAACTGGATCAGATCAGCACTAAAACCTACCAAAAATGTCAGGAAAGTGGTTTATCAGTAATCCAAGGGGATGAAGTGGGCAAGAGCTGGGACGTGGCCCAAATGACTTCAGATGAGACTCGCACAAGAAACCTGTTGAAAATCAATACAAAGAATGTAAACAGTTAGGTTTATCTAATCCAACATTGAAAGTGATATTTGAAAGGACATTTACCTCCCTGTTTTGTAGGCTCCTGTGTGTAATGCTTTAAAACCAGACAGCTATCTGTATTTCCACAGCAGAGAAAATGGAGAAATCAGAAAGATCTGGATCTGAAGATACACAAAAAGAATATACGTGGTGGAAGGAAGCTGTTTTTCTGTAAAGGAAAGGCATCCCTCAGGATTCTGAGTGCTGCAAACAAGATATTAACATATGGGCGAGAGATGTGTTTTGTTTCTCTCTCCAATAGTCAGGAGAATTTCATGTGTTTGGGGAAGTCTGGTCTTCTGTTCTTCACCACCATTGCTGTTGAATTGCTGATGCAGAAATCAGACTCGCTGGTCTTTGACTTCCAGGATCACCTTTGCCATCCTTCTTTAAAAATCTTCCATCAGATCTTTTCTGCTCTCTGCGTCAGGACTGACATAAGCAATAGGTTACAGACCAGCTCCTAGTGTTAAACTGTAAACACGCTGCACCTTGGTTCCCCCAGCTCCTGGGGGATCGCCACCCAGCCCTGCTTGCTGGCTGCACTTATCAGCGTCTTCTCAAAGGTCTTCCAGAGGACCTCTGGGCACGGCGGCCTCAGACTCACCGTCTGCAAAAAGCAGCTCCAGGGCTGAAAGCTCGCCTCTCGGAGAGCACCTGTCACAAGGAGTTCATCAAGCTGTCCTGCGGTGGCCTTGTTTCCCTCCTGTGCTTTAACTTACTATTGGCCTCGACAAGTTTCCGACACACCTCAATCCTGATCACCCATAACAAGAGATTTACTATGAGGTACCAGGCTTTTTCCTCCTCAGAAAGTGTTTAAGCTCTGATAAAGGCAAATCTAATTAGGTTGTGCATGCTCTCTTTTGTGTTTTCTCCTTTATGAAGGATGAGCACTTTTTGGAGACTGCCTTTTCACCTTCGCTTTCCCTTTGAAACACAGGGGCTGTCGTGGGGGTAGAGCTGGAGGGAGAGACGTGAGAGGGGATGTCCTCGGGGTGCTCACGGTGGGCACGAGGCACGCGGAGCCTCTCAGCCACTGTATCCAACTGAGCTCTCTCTTCTGCAAGTGGTTCTGCTGCATTATCTGATCCTTCAATTACCATATTCCATTATATGCAGCTCTTCTTCTCAAGTTAAGTATTACTATCATATATATTTTTGGCTTGCTGCCTTTTACAAGAATGTTTTAGGTTGGCTGTGATCTCCATTACAATATGGATCTTTGATAGCTCTGCCTATAACCCCATCTTCATGCTGCTCAGGACTAAATTGCAGTTGCTTTTCTGTTTTGTCTACTCCAACAAACAGCATTTTTTCATTATATCTGAAAACGTAGCCTCTGCGTGACACTGATGAATAAGTGAAATCTTTTATTACCTCTTTTAGATCCATGCAAGCTCTCTAATCCTCTTTAGCATTTTGACAATCCAGATATCATTCTGGTCAAAGGATCAGAACTAGACTATGATTTTCCTGTTTAGGTATGGGATTTCAATACACAGCAATGCTGTGAGGCAAATGGATATAATCAGCTCCATATTTTCCTCTTTTTTCCAAAATGGGGCATCCCCGCCCAGCAGCACGACCTGCTTTAGGCTGGTTTGGAGGGGCCCCCTCCAGCTGGCACCCCTCGGGTGCTCGGTGCTGTGAAGGCTGAGCCACACACACCCACCAGCAGCAGAGACGAGGGGTCTGCAGAGAGGAGGGGTCCACAAAACAAGGGGTCTGCACCCCGGCAGCTAATGGGGCCAGCGCAACGTTTGCAAGGCCGAATTCTCATGCTTTCTTTTAATCTCTGATCAACCTCACTGTGTGTTTGGTTGCATTTCCATCCCAAGCTGGATGTTCACATTCCACCAGGAGATTTAATTGCCCCCTGCTCAAACAAATAGGCCTCCCTCCCCGTGTTTGCCTCTGCCTCGCATTCTGAGTCCTCGCAGCGCTGCACCATTTAGACAGCTCATCTATTGCTCGCAGCTTCTGCAAGAGTCGCTTTGATTTTTGCTTCAATATTATTGCACCCAGCAGGCCAGCTACTGGGTGGTGCTCACTATTGAGTCCTGCCAGCTTCTTCTCTCCCAGCACTGAATTGATTTCACTCTTTCTTGTTTTGTTTTCTGCAGAACTTAGAGGCTGTGATTTCTGCGAGCTCCTCTGGGCAGGTGAACTCCCTCCTTGTTTGGCCAGCTCAGTCCTGCTAAGTTGCTACGACTGTGCAGGAACACCACTGGGGCTGACAGCAACCACAGGCACCGTGCAGGCGTGCGGGACATTGCCCAGGAGGACAGCAGGAGGGCTCCATCCCTAGCAGGGTCCTGACCACGCTGCAGCAGGTTGCAAAGCACTTGCTACAGGAACCGCTTTTTTACGCTGCTGGCAGGTAAGAGCTGTCTGCTCAGCTTTAAAGATCCCTGCAACAAAACACCAGAAAATGCATTTTGGCAGAATTTACAGACACTCATTATAAGATGAGCGCTGAGCTTCATGAATAAGCACCTACTTGAAAAAAAATAATTACCAGAAGTAGGCCAAATAGAGGAGGAGTGGATAAGGGTTCCCCCCAGGGTCACATCCTATATTCCTGTTTTAAGTTTATATATAGACGTCCTAAATAGCAAACCAAATTAAGCTACACTCGTCCTCTCTGACAGCTCAGCTGTGGGGGAGTTATGAGTGTGGAACAAGCAGTACAATCGGAGGCTCGAGCTCTCCTGTGTAACCAGATCACACATAACGTTAATTAATCTCATATTTGACTTTAGAAATGCTTCCCGTTTGGCTTGTAGTGTTACTCCTAGGAGTTATCAGTAAGTGCTGTTCTCTCTCCCAGCCATCCTTCCCTTGCAGCAGTCAGTCATTTCCAAGGAGCCGTTGCAGTTTCAGACAAGCCCCATGCAGCCCCTCATTCACACCCAGGGAAAGGGGCAGCATTCTGACGAAGGCACTGACATTACAATTTGCTGCCATCGGTTTTCCATACCCTGCCATTCCTTGCTGCTCTCAGAAATGAAGAAATGCACAGTATGTGTTCACATCAGCCAGCTCCTGCAAATAGGCCCCTTTGTTAACAGATGCCATCAGCACAAGCATTGAAACCAATTTCCTTTGTGGTTTGACTCGAGCAAAAATTACTTATACTTCATATATGTGTTTTTACAGATCCACTGTAAAATGACTCAAGCTAAGGCTTTGTTAGAAAAATTTCCTCTAAAATAAAAGTTTGTCAGTAAAAAGCTATTTCTAACTGGCCTCCCACACCTGCTGCTTCTGCGAGATCCATCATGAAATGTTGCTTTCACAGGGCTTGCCAAAGGACCTTCCTCTAATAAGAAAGCTTGTCAATAAGTTCACTTTTTAGCTGTTTTTTCCAAAGCTGTTGTAAAGATGTAATTGTCAAGAAGATATAGATTTATTTGGCATCCCTAGCTAGGTCTGAAAAATTACAACTGCGCCTTTCTGTCAAACACACACCTTCAGCCAAGTCAGTCTGAAATTGCACAATGCTGACAGGGACAGCTGTAGGAGACAGCTTTTTCCTTGAACTTTGCATGTTGAGAGAGAGAAAAACATATATATATAGTTAAAGCCAGGTAGAAGAAAACCTTTTTTTCCTTGGAAGGTTGTGTTGGATAGCCATGTCTGACAAGAAATCCGTACCTTGGGCATTGGTTGGCTGGTTGTTTTTCTCATTTATTTTTTATTTTTTTTCTATCTGCATGGCTAGCAGTGCCTTTTCTGTGCAGCTTTTTCTGAACTGCAGAAACCTGTAGTTTAAGTCACTTTCAGTGATTCTAGAAAAATTGTTTTAAGTGAGAAAAGGACTTTTGTCCCCTATTGCTCCTTGCTCTACAAATTCTTTTTTTCTTTAATTTTTAAGCATCAGACACAGTTCTCTGTAAGATTGCTCATTGTGTATTGTTACTCAAAATTCTCTGCTACTACTGAGAAATTGTATAACACGTGGAAGCCTGGTAATGTTAAGCATTTTCAGTATTTGTTCTTACAAGAAACATGCAGCATTTCCAGTCCTTGCAGCATGGAATTAGCTCATTTCTCCTTTTACACAGATCTGCTGCCTTTGTTGCTCCAATACTGGAAGTTTCAGCATGTTAATTTTTGACCTTGTTGTTGCTTCAGACAAGCTTAGGGACACACCACCCCATATGAACGCATCGCAGGGTATTAAGGTAGAGATTTTTTTTTCCAAACGTTTCATGCTTCAACACCCAACTTCGCTGGGAAGGAAAGTCTGTGTGACTTCTGTTTAGGGGGAAAGGCGGCTACAACCCCAAGGCTGCTAGTTATCCACGTGAACCCTGCTCTTGGAAAACCAGTTGGATAAATCAGAACCAGATAATAAAGCAACCACTGACTTCTTAAAGACCAGTCCTAATCTTTCAAGTAGTAAAATAACAAAATGTTTTTCCTTTTGTGCATTTGTGCATTAAAACAAAATCAAATAAATGCTTCCCATAAACCCCAGTAAGGTACCTGAAGCCGAGGGGCGGAGGGGAGGACAGCTTCCCTCCACACAAGGGCTGCTGCCACTCCGCTCACAAGCAGCTCCAAACATCCAGGCCCCGGGGGTTTCTTTATGTATGGAGAGGAGCACACTGCAGGGACACTGAGGAGCACCCTGTCTGGGGCTTCGATGCTTCTTCAGGGCCTTCACACCGCTATCGGTGCTCCTCGTGTTCCCTGCAGGAGGATGGTGCTTTTGTGGACGGGCCCAGAGAAGTTCACAGAGACGCTGATCTGAGAAGCTTCTTCATATCTGCTAACCTTAAGTGCTTCTTGTTAATTGGAACCACTCAGAAGCTGAACCTCAAATTCACTTGTAAGTGTTCTGCTGGGCTGCAGCCTGAGCAGTCTTCTCGCTGAATAATGTCACTGCAGTAGTCTACAGAAAATTATTTGCAACCAGGGCATTTATCAGTTAAAATTAATCCTTCTCCAAGCAAAAATGCCTCTGCCTTCCAATTATGCTGCTGTGAAGAATGGAAACAAAGGAAAATTGCTCACCTTAATTAGTCCCTTTGCGGTGCTCGTTGCGAGCTCATCCCTCATCCCAGCTCGGCCGGGTGCCGCAGCAGATCCACCACCAGCACCGCGCTGCAGGGCAGCTCCCCCCTGCTGCACCAGGGAGAGCCCCCCGACCCCTTCACTGCTCCACGGCCCAGACCAGAGCTGGAAAACGGTGATTGAATGCAAGTAGTTCTTTAGACTGTCACAGTTGTGGTGGTCCTCATGCACGCATGCTTGAAAGTAAATTAATCTCTGAAGAAAAACAGAAACAAATAAAAAAATTGAAGAGCTTTTCATTTTGTCACTACTGTATCTTCTAAAGATGTCAAAGTTTAAATCATACAGGCTTTCAACACATATAATATAAAAACATTAATGGTAGAAATAGTTTGGTAATCCCACTCTTTGTGCAGCAAGTGGAACTTGGTCTCACGCCCATTCTCTCCTTCATGTGCAGACTCGAATCCATCCTTTGCAGCAAAACCATGTGCTTTGAGCACTGCATCGCATCCAGTGACTCTGTGGGACTTCTATCAGCAGTTGCAAGTTCTGTTGGACAGAGGTAGACTCGGTTGTTTTAAATTAAGCACAGAGACAACTGCATTATCAGGCTGGTGCCCAGGAACCTGTAAAAAGGCAAGGAAAGACAGCCTTAGGGCCACCCTATTGCAGACCATTAGAAATGTAGGTGCAAGACTCTTGTTTCAGGGGCTCTACATGCTGACTCATACCCATTGCAGTTATCTTTAGTTCATTAAATGGAAAGTAAGTTTGTTGTCATCTTGCTTTGTAAACAGCTTGAACATTTATAATTGGGAAAAAATGTACAATAGCTTCCATTTCCATTTTTAACTTCTTCTGCAAGGGGGAAAAATTAGACCATTCCTCATTCTTGCCTTCAAGAAGCTGGTTTCTAATTCCACCATTAACTATGCAGGGAGAATTCATTTCTCATACACAATGTGTATGTGAGGATATTTAATGGGTAGATCAACCCACTCATCTCTAAAACGTTAAAAAATAAATAAACAAAAGCAAAAAAAAAGCTGTATCTTTACCTGCCTCTTGCTAGAGGTGCCAGCACCCCCGGAGCACAGGGCTCACAGCGGAGATGCCCCAAGCTCCACCAGACAAGGCTGATGCAAGCACAGCTGACCCCATGCCAGTCAGGCATTTTTGGTATGTCTGAGCTCCCAGCGCACCAGAGACAGGCAACCTGCACATTTCTTCCAACCAACAAGTGCAAACACCACGCAAATCACAAGCTGTGAAAAGCAACTGTCCGGGTTAGTCCTGGGCTGCCTTACAGGGGGGTGGAGGCTGCAGCTGTGACACCCTGCACTGGGGGATGCCCGTTTATGATGCTCTGCAGTCGTATTTTACTTCCTTTCCACCCAGGTGGCGTGTACTGTGTAGCCTTTAAGGAAGTTTGACATCACTTCTCCCAGCAAAGGTGCATTTGGGTGGCAGGCATGAGCTGTCTGACAGCTGCCTGGGACACCAGTGAGAAAAGCTCAGAGTATCAGAAGTTGCTGTGGCATCAGCCAACACTTCATTAGCAGGCAGCTAATCAATCGACACCTTAATCAATTGGGTTATCAGAGCTACAGGTCGCAGAAGTCCCGCAGGTGTTTGCCATGCGGAGCCCTGGCAGGGAGGTTGAGGCACACCAGTGTTCCCAGCTCCAGCACCAGGCACAGCCTGCCCCCACAGCCTCGGATGCTGGATCTGGCAAGCCTGGGGGGTCAGCCCAAATTCAGGTGGCTCATAAGATACGTTACTGCCTTGCTTCCCCACATCTGCTTTTCAAACCCAGCAGCTAGGTTTGCATTTCGAGTAGAAAAGACTCTTTTTCCAGTACGAGCAGTCCCAAGCACGGGGCAGGCTCCCTTCCCGCAGGCTTTGCATCCCAGCACCCTGCCCTGCTGTCACAGAGACCCTGCACAGCTTCTGGCCCTACAAACGCCCCTGGCTTTCTTACTGGGGGCACTGTGGGGACCTTCATGGATGTGACTACAGATCCTTTCTCCCCCACCTCCTCCTAGTTGTTTGCTCGCTGGAGGAGTGAAGGAATGATGCATTTCCACCAACTCTGATGCAATGTTTCAAAAATCCTACAGAAACTCTGTTTACAGTGTGTTACAAAGATATCATTAAAGGCCCTTGAAAACCACTCTAATTTTAATGAGTTCCACTGTTATCTTCTACATTCAAGACTGAGACCAAAGCCAGAAATAGAAACACCTCTGAAGCTGGACAGGAGACTGTGTGTGTTCCTACTATGCCTGCTCTGCTGCTGGAGGACGACCAAAGCACACCTGGTCAGGACTCCTCCGATCGCCCCAAAGAAAGGCAATCATCCCATCTCCTCCCCCACACAGCTGTGTAAATTAATAAGGAAGTAATTTCACTGCTGAGTTCTGGTAATGTCTCAGAGCATGGAAGTGTAGCAATTACAGAGTTGTATATTCAAAATTTACCCTCCTAACTCAGTCGTACCTGACCCCCCTCTCCAATTAGGTCCAGACACTGCAGGCAAATGAGACTTACTTTACAGATTTCTGCTGTGATCTCAGAAGTCTCTGACTCCACATGCAGTCTTCCAAGAAGCTGATCCATTATTCATTTTTACTGCCTCTAGTTGAGAGCTGCACTCCAAATCCAGCCCTGCTCCAGCACAGCGGGACCACCCCCAGGGCAAGGAAGGGGTCTGGCCAGCACAGCCAGACTGCTGCCCATCGGACAGAGGGGTGGGAGAGATGAACCTCACAGGTCCTCCTGCTGCTGGAGGAACCCCTGCATTCCCCAGGACCCCCACACATATATATGCTGTATCCTCCTGGTCCTGTCCCCTCAGCACTTCTGAATTTGAAGGCTTTTCTGGGATGCCATCTGCGATCTGGGGATGCCCATTCCTCCTGGGGACAGGCAAGGCATGGCTGGGTGTTCCCTTTGGCATGACCCAGCAGCTGACCCTGCCAGAGCTGGCAAGTTCCAGTGTCTAATGGGGAAGGCTCTGAGCACATCTGAGAGCCCTGTGTCCTGCCCAGCTCACACCATGGTCCTGTTCTCCTCCTTGGCTCACAGAGACTGATGGACAGACTGCCAGCCTAGCTCAGCCTCCCAAACCCCTGCTGGCAAAAGCCCATCCATGCTGGTCCATAAGAGACCTTCAGGAGCCGTGCCCCATTTGGGAGTGCTCCCATGCTACAAGACAGGGCACAACAGCCTGACCCCACTGTCTCCGTGGTCCTCTGGGCCCCACCAAGAATGGGACAGAGCAAAGGGGAAGGGAAGGACCGTTCTCCTCGGGGGGCACTGAAACACATGGACAAATTGCACAACTTTCTAAACACACAAACATTGCTCCCAGGTGCTTCTCTCTGCATGTGAGGTCAATCCTCAGGTTTGGCACCGCATCCCAGCTGCTCACATTGATAAGAATTTGAGGGCAAAACAGCAGGAGATGGAGCCTGCTAATTAAAACATTTCATCTCCAGCCTCTGCCTAATGGCGCTGCCTTTTCACAGCTTGACAGAACTTCCATCAGCCCAGCGCACGTCCCGGCCAGCCCTACGCCAAATCACGATCCCGGTCTCGGGAACTGCAACCCACTGAAATATTCAGACCTTTGCTGGAAAGACAGCGCTTACTTAATTCCTTGCCAAATTTTTGGAGCATCACAAAGCAGAAGATTTTACTCCAGTCCAACTGTGCTTGTCTGGCATAACTTGGGTTTGTCACATCAATGGCAGCTCTGACATAAGTTATACACAGATGAATTTGCCTTTCACTTCTGATGTATTTGCCATTTCCAGCTGAAGCCAGGCAATACATTCCCAATCAGTACAGAAAGTGTGCTCAGCCAAGATAAAAATACATTCATTCTCCCTGCTATGCTCTCTGTGATGTTCACAGCCACGGCACCACCGTCCCACAACCCAGGGAACAGAAAACGCCTGGGAGGAGTTTGCAGCACCAGGGCAATGCACTCCCAGCAAGTTAGGGCACAGGAAGAGCCTCACTGAGATCTGTCTCACCCCACTGTACCTGAAATATGCGGGGGCCATGAGGAACACCAGATCAGTCCCACCACAGGCAGCCCCGTGTCCCCCCAGCCATCTCTTCCCAGAAATAACTGCTGTCCTTTCCAGATTCCATTAGACTCCGTTGTCTAATGATTTCTGTTGCCCGCTGATTTCTTACCACACACACACACAGAGTAAAATATTTTACAGAAATAGAAACTATGAAGAATTACATCAATGTATTTCAGTTTTAAGAGCCTGATGATATTGGCTAAACAGATGCAGGCTTTATTTGCTGCAGTGTCTTCCCTCTGATATACAATCTCTTTAAATTCCTGAGGGAGTCCCATTTTAATTTACAGTAATTTAATGACAATCTTACATTGGAAATTAGAGTTAACTTTTTAATGGCATATATTCCTTCATCTGACTGGTAGAGAGTGTGCTCACACTAATAATCATTTAATAAAGCCGTGCGTGTAAATATTGAAGCATTCGTACCAGTTTATTGACATCATACTTGAAAAAGTTTAATAACATTTTTTAACTTGCCTAAATATTCAGTGCATTTGATGTTCATGTCATGCTAGCACATCAAACTGAAGCATTTATAACTTTGCCACTCCCTGTTTAAAACAAAAGCCTTATTCCTGCTCTATTGTCATGAAGCACAGCGAAGGCAGCACCTGTAGGCTTGTGCCCCGCTGCGATCACACCCTCAGCACCCACATCAGTCGTGAGCACCTTTGGTGAAATGCCACTGTCTGGAGCCCCCAGCAGAAGAAAGGTGCTTGGCGTGGTCAACAAGCACACCTTCGTGTAGCTGTCCACGCCAAGGGTCAGTTCTTTGAGGCTGAGATATTCTGCCTCAGACCAGCTCCAGCAGCCACGGCCACTGATGCCCTTTCAATTTTGGGAGCTCACGTTCAGGCCGCTGCTGTGACCCCAGAGCCTTCCAAGCATCACCTTCCCTCACACATACATGAGTCCTGGCTGCTCAAGGTGCCTGTCTTTTTGGCTGTGCATCGTTCAAACCAGCTGATCTCACAGCCTGGTCCATGTCCTGTCCAACAGGCCCCGCTGCAAAGCACTGCCACTCTGAAGTCATTTTAAAGAACAAATTCTGCCATAGATAGAGGAGAAGGGGAGATGTTACAGTGATATCAGGCACTCTATTAGCTGGCAGCAGGCAAAGGGAAAAGCCATCAAAGAGCTCCTCAGTGC